ACATATAACACATTGCAGTAATCTAACCTTGAGGTTTCCAGAGCATAGACAACAGTAGTTAGGCTATCCCCATCCAGACAGGGGCGTAGCTAGGCCACCAGCCAAAGCTGATGGAAGGCACTCCGGGCCACTGAGGCCACCTGAGCCTCGAGCGACAGCAAAGGATCCAGGAGGACCCCCAAGCTACAAACCTGCTCCTTCAGGCAAAGTGTAACCCCACCAAGAGCAGGTGATCTCCCAGCCATCTGGTTTAGGGAACCACCCACTAACAGTGCCTCAGTCTTATCTGGATTGAGTTTCAGTTTGTTGGCTCTCATCCAGTCCATTATCAAGGCAAGACACTGGTCCAGCACTTCCACTGCCTCACCTGCAGATGTAAAGGAGAAACAGAGCCGAGTGTCATCAGCATACTACTGACAATGTACACCGAACCTCCAGATAACCCCACCCAGAGGTTTCATGTAGATGTGAGCTGGGGGAATCTGTGGCAGAGAGAAGTCTAGAATTGGAGGCAGAAGCTGAAGCAGGGAAGGAGGGAGGCCAAGAGGCAGACAGGAGTCAGGCTGGTGAAGAAGCTAGTCTGTCTTCCCCTTCCTGCTGGACAAGCTCCCTTCCCCACTTGTCTCCCAGGACCAAGAGAGGTATGAAGTGGGAGGAGCAAAGACAGGCACAACTGCATAATCTCCAATCACATGGGAAGGACCCGGGGTAGGATGAGACTTTGACAGCTGCAGGAAGGTGGGGACCTTCAACCTCCACAACTGCCTCATAGGGGAAAGATCTACCAAGAAGAGTTTGAGCTCATTAGGCCTGGAACTCCTGAGCAGAAGACCTTGGTTCTTCTAAGTACGAGTTAACTTCACTTACTCTGTGTGATTTATTGCTGTCTCTCTCCTGACCATAGGTGCCAGCCACTCACTCTCAGCCTAACCTACCTCAAAGAGTTGTTTTGGAGATTAACTGGAGAGGGGAAGAACCAGATAAGCCACAATGAGCTCTGTGGAGAAAAAGTAGGGCTCTAAATGAAATCAATAAACAAAGCACCATTTTGAAAATCACACACACACAAAATCAGATAAACATTAAAGTGACTGGCTAATCAAAAACAAACATCAATAATAAGCATTAAAAGTATTCAAAAGAGAACTGAAAGTCAAAGGTGAGGACGCCTACCAAATCCCTGCTGGAATTAATAATTTTATTATTTATAATAATAAAAGAGTGTTCCACAGTATGGGACCAGTGACACTAAATGGCCAGCTTTAAGTTGAAGCCAGTTGGGCCTCTGTAACTCAGGGGCAACTATCAGCACTCTTCAATATGGGCTCAGTGGCTCACACTTATAACGGGGGGCACAAGTGTATTTATTTATTGAAAATGTAATTTATTATAATACGAAACCTAATTAGTGTATGCATATGAGATATAAGTAGATGAGATATGTGCTGATTAGTATAAGATTTGTATTTAGTATTCACTTAGACGTTGTTTTCACATAATCTCGCAACATATAAGTAGCGAAAGCAACACAAAATCCCCACATCCCAACCGCAAATCGAAAACCTCGCCGATCATCTTTAAGCCTTAAAAGAGTTTAAGACAGTCTTTCCCTGTTCCTTATAAAGGCTTTGGAGCCAACAGCATCTGACACTGAGAATTTTGGACAAAATCCAAATGAAGGGAACATAAAGCTTGTGCAAGCACATTTGAGTCAGGATAATTGGCTTGATAATCCCTTCCCCTGATTTCAGATTCATACTTCATGCCCTCTCTCTAAGAAGAATGAGAAGAACTCTGCTGGATGCAAACAAGCGGTCATCTAGCCTAGTTTCCAGCAGCAGCCAACAACCAGAAGCTTCTGGAAAATTCCCATGAGCAAGGCCTGAGCACAGCAACCTTTCCCTGCTGGTATTCTGGGATAAACTCCCTCTGCATATGGAAGTTCTATTTAGCTTTCAAGGCAGATTGTTGCAATGAAGCGGTCAAGCCCCTCTGAGAGTCATCTTAAGCCATTAGCCCAAAAATGGAAACCGAGAGAAGTCCCAGCTAAAGAAGAATGGCAGCATAAACTGATGAAATATGTGCAGCTTGCCGATCTAACATATAGAATAAGAGGACAAGAAGAATATACATTTAAAGAAGATTGGAAAATGTTTGTTGAATATATGGAGGAAAATTGTGTATATTTGAAAACGTGGGCAGCATTAAGATAAATTCAACAGTGTAAATAAGTTTTGATGGATGAAATAATGGAATACAAAATAGTTTATATAAAATATACAGGGATTTATGTTGTGCAAAATGAACCACAGAAAGAGAGGAAGGGAGGTCATTGATAGTTTAAGGTTCTTTAAGTGAATTTTCTAAAATGTAAAACAAAAATTTATATATACTATTTATATCAACTAAAAAGGTAAAGGATCCCTGACCATTAAGTCCAGTCGTGGATGACTCTGGGGTTGTGGCACTCATCTCGCTTTACTGGCTGAGGGAGCTGGCGTTTGTCCGCAGACAGTTTTTCCAGGTCATGTGGCCAGCGTGACTAAGCTGCTTCTGGCAAACCAGAGCAGCACACGGAAATGCTGTTTACCTTCCTGCCAGAGCGGTACCTATTTATCTACTTGCACTGGTGTACTTTCGAACTGCTAGGTTGGCAGGAGCAGGGACCGGGCAATGGGAGCTCACCCTGTCACGGGGATTCGAACCGCCAACCTTCTGATCGGCAAGCCCTAGGCTCTGTGGTTTAGACCACAGCACCACCCGCGTCCCAATTATTAACTAAAAAGCACAGAGCTTAATCTTTTCATCATATGAAAAGCATCCCAGCCCCTTGATCATTTTGGTTGTCCTTTTTTTAAAAAGAAGAAGAAGAAGAAGAAGAAGAAGAAGAAGAGAACTTCCCTGGCTCCCTTTCTTAACCTGAGTCCACACTTAGGTAAAAACTCATCTTCACAGCTGTTTAGGTCTTGTGGGTTTCCCCCCTCCCCCCAAAATTATTATTTTCAGTTTGCTGAGTCACTGAGTCACAGAGTCACCCAGAATTTTAAGTAGTCGGACAGACAGCAGCATCGCTTTTCTTATATCTGAGAGGCATATCAAGGCAATATAAATTCAAAAAGCAGGGCTAAATAAAGGCTTCAAAAATCATTTCATGTCAAGGGTAGATGTCTCCTGGTTTTGATCAATGTCCTGTCATTTAAGTTGTTCTTTTAAAAAAACCAACACCTTTGTAATGTAATGATAGGCTTTAAGGGAGAGGCTTTCTGGAGGAGCGGCAGGTTTCGACATTGTCAATGCCACTCTGGGCAAGTGTTCTAGACATTCAGAATTCCCAAATTCAGGGAGAAGTTCAGCAGGGTAATTTTTGCAGCAGTGCTACTCAGCATCCCAAGCAACTGCCTGGGAACCAGATGCCATTGTGCCATAGGGATATTAACAAGAAGCATTATAGTAGCAAACCTGGAGAGTACAATTTGCTGCCATGTTAATTAAATCGCCATAGTGATTGTGTGTTTTTTTCCATAGTAAATGTTTTTTTCTGCAATCCTATACACACTTGCAAAGGAGTAAGCCTTCTGGTTTTGAGCAGTCATGTATAGGACTGCACCTTTTAAAATTTTCAGTTCATTGATATTTGTTTGTTTGTTTGTTTGTTTGTTTATATCAAAGGCCTGTGAAAGGAGCATTCATGTTGGGGAAAAGCTTTTCCAAAACAGGTATTTTTAAGGGATATGAGCCCAATAGTCTCCCGTTGTACTTTATAACTCCCTTGCATGCCTGCCCATGAGTACAACGGAATGGTTGGTTCTCCATAGATACTTAAATGCTCATAAGCTACACTGTGTACATGTGTTTATATGGCATTGCATGAAACAGGTACTCTGCCTATTGTGGGGACACAGTGCAGGCTGTGAGCTCCTTAAATTCAGGGGGGGGTTTAAAGTGTGTGTGTGTGTGTGTGTGAGAGAGAGAGAGAGAGAGAGAGAGAGAGAGAGACTATTTTGTGTTGTTCAAGAGCTTTAAACCCTTTAGGCAGTAATCCTGTACTCACTTCTCTGGGAACAAGTCCTACTAAACTCAGTGGAACCTACATCTCAGGAGACATGCATAGGATTTTACTGCAAGTCTATACAAAATTTACCTGGAAGCAGGCCCTAGTGGGACTTAAGTTTGAGCAGACATGTACAGAATGATGCTTTTAAAGAGCCTTGGCAGCCATAGTATAAAAAGCTTTCAAAGAGAAGCAAAAAAAAATGTCAGAGTCCAGTTTTCCTAAAGAGCTGAAAATCTCCCATCGTTTGTAGAGTTTTTGTGAAGGTTTCAGTGCTGCAATGCAGTGCTATTTTAGAGAAACAGAATGTGAAATGGAAGCAAGCGGAAGGCATTGTTGGTTACAGAGCTGCGAGGAGATATTGTTTTTCTCAAATGCCTGATTTGTTTTTTGATCTATATCTCTGAAACCTTTAGCCTATAAAAAAAACCCCACACATACAAAAAACCACAGTGTCCTTCACTGCATGGTTAAAATGTCCCTCTCGGGATCTGTGCATATTCTTTAATTCTGTGAGTTATTGCAGTGAAACTGTGCTTCATTCCAGGCCCTGTTTAAAGTACTGGTTCTGACCTTTAACACCTTCGCAGCCTAGGATCAGCTTGCTTGAAAGATCGCCTGGATCTATATATATATCTGGTGTTATAGGAAAATCCTTGGGCTCACTTGGGTTGCCAAACAAAGACACCAGCCAGGAATATATGAGCAAAACAGCAGCCTGTAGGCCTGATCTTTATTAAAAGAACTGTTGCAACAGGACTTCTACCCACCACATGGAAGAAGCAAGAAGAAGCCCCGAACAAAGGATGGCTCCCTTTTTAAAATAACTTTCCCTTTTTACCCACAACACCCTTAGTGAAGCATCACACATACATCATATATACATCACAACTATGTCATAATCTGGGAGGGGTCTTCTGGCAGAAACCTGAACATTCCTGTCCTCCTGGTCAAGTTAATCACACCCCTTTGTCTTGAACAAGATCCTAATCAACTGAGGTTGGGGTTTACTATTGTCTCTGGAATGGCTACCTGTCTGGCACTCAGGGCCAGGATGCCAGCGAGTATCTCCCATGCAAGAGGCTGCTGAGTATGTGGTGTCAGGCTTGAGGAATTATGGCTGCCCACATCCCAGACTCCCCCTTTGGTAGCCATTCCTTTCCTGAGCACAACAAAGTTGGAATGGTGCAAATCCATTTTTATATGGAGCAATTTTTATATGACTTTCTAAAGTTTTCCCATTGAGCCAGTGAATTGTTACATTTGGTAATGTGCAGCAGAGGCCCTTTGAATAGAGATAGGGGGGAAATACTGTATGATGAAGTCTTTTGTGGGGACATTTGCAGGAGTCGGTGGGGTGTATGATGTCCGCTGGAGGGGCAACCCCCCCCCCAACCTTTCCATAAATTCCGTTAACACTGGCCATACAAGATCTTCAACAGAGGGCTTCCTGTAGGTGCCCTCGCCATCTGAAATAAGACAGGTGGTTTTCCAGAGGCAGGGCCTTCGTGGTGATGGTGTCAGCTTTGTAACATTCTCTCCAGAGGCACCTACCTGGCTGTCTTTTCAGTGCCACAAGGAAGCCCTTTTAACTCTGTTGCTTCCATCCTATGCCGAGGTTGAATATATGTGTAAATAAAACCAGATATCCTAAATACCGTACATCACAGTCTCTGTTGGCCTTCGTTTCAAAGAAACCAAACCCTGGTTGGGCACAGGCCTTTGTGGAATCTCTCACCACTCAGAGATTGGGGTGTACAGTACTGTCAGGTGGCAGAGGAACCAACCCAGGTTGCCAGGAACAGATAAGACAAGGAAACGTCCTTACTGTCTGCTTTTATTCAATATTTAGAGAGGCTTGGAATGCAGCCTCTCAGAATAATAGCATTGCCCCGAGTCAATCTCCACCCCCTCTGTCTCTCCCATTTCCCCATGAGTCATCACTGTTGTTCTTTAGTCGTTTGGTCGTGTCCGACTTTTCCTGACCCCATAGACCAGAGCACGCCAGGCACTCCTGTCTTCCACTGCCTCCCGCAGTTTGGTGAAACTCATGCTGGTAGCTTCGAGAACACTGTCCAACCATCTCATCCTCTGTCGTCCCCTTCTTCTTGTGCCCTCCATCTTTCCCAACATCAGGGTCTTTTCCAGGGAGTCTTCTCATGAGGTGGCCAAAGTATTGGAGCCTCAGCTTCAGGATCTGTCCTTCCAGTGAGCACTCAGGGCTGATTTCCTTCAGAATGGATAGGTTTGATCTTCTTGCAATCCATGGGACTCTCAAGAGTCTCCTCCAGCTCCATAATTCAAAAGCATCAATTCTTCGGCGATCAGCCTTCTTTATGGTCCAGCTCTCACTTCCATACATCACTACTGGGAAAACCATAGCTTCATCACTACAGGTGCTGAAAAGTGCCCTCTGCCTTTGACCTCTTTGCTCTCCTACTTTCAAGGCCCGCTGTGTTCTGGGGGGGGGGGGGGTCTGGAATGCTTTCTAAAGACACTGAGTCCATCAGCTGTCACTCCCCTGGTACTGCTGCTTCCTCCTCCTTCTCCTCCTCCTCCTCCTTTCTCATTATTCCCCAGCTTTCCTCCTCATCTTCCTCGGAGCCGTGACCTCCCTCAAACCCCTGCTGTAATTCTGAACTGTCTTCTTCTTCTTCTTGGAAGGGTCAGGCTGGGGATGCGGTCTCCACCATTCCTCCTCTGCCCAGTCCCTGACAAGTACAATCTGTAGAAGATATGATCAGAAATAACAGGAAAACTGCAACTCTACGAAATCAAATCACAGCCTTCTTCTCCTGCTTTGTTTTCAGAGCTATTCCCTTACAAGGGAATAGTGATTTCATAACTGAGCATATGCACAGCACTTGGTAAGCTAATTTCCCCCCATTATTTTATTTTATTTTATTTTTTCACCGAAACAAAATGGATCCCATCCAAAATGCAGTCCTACTAATTGGAAGTCCATAAGAAGAAGCCACTTTTTGGGGCCATGGCAGTTCGCCCTGTTGCCCGCTGACAACGTCAGACGTGCATTTTAGCCCTGCACTTCTCTTTACTTAAATCCAAGCTTATTCCCATTGATTCTAGGGGCCACTCCACACAACAGAGCCAGGCAACCGTCTTGTTATATGGCACTACAGTGGTACCTCGGGTTACATACGCTTCAGGTTACATACGCTTCAGGTTACAGACTCTGCTAACCCAGAAATAGTGCTTCAGGTTAAGAACTTTGCTTCAGGATGAGAACAGAAATTGTGCTCCGGCGGTGCGGTGGCAGCAGGAGGCCCCATTAGCTAAAGTGGTGCTTCAGGTTAAGAACAGTTTCAGGTTAAGTACGGATCTCCGGAACGAATTAAGTACTTAACCCGAGGTACCACTGTACTATCTGATTTTGCTGCAGTGCAAATTGGAGGGCAAATTCAGACCGGCCGTGTTTCCCTTATTTAATGCAACAGAGTACTTTATGATCTTTATGGCTCTAACCCTGGCAGCTCCCATAGCTGTTAGTAAGCTTTTGTGTGGACTCAGGGGGAGTCATGATTGTTTTTCTTTGACCACCTGCCCATCCTTCCCTCCCTTGTGCTGTGTTTCAAACTGCTCTCATTTTCAGAAGTAGCTTTCTGGAACATAGGAAGCTGCCTGGTACTAAGCCACTGGTGCACTTAGTTCAGTTCTGTCTACTTTGCCTGGTAGCAGTTCTCCCGGGTTTCAGGCAGGGGACAATCCCATCTTTGCCTGGAAATGCTGGAAATTGACCTTGAGGCTTTCTGCATCCTAGACCAAGACTCTACAACTGAGCCATTGCCTTTCTCCAGCTACAGTCCTTCTGTGACATAAGGATGGAAATAGTATTGTTTTGGGGGATATCAGAAATCCAGCTGTGTGCAGTCCTCTTGGGTTTTGGCCTTTTTTATCCACCAGCTCAGCTTCTATGATGCCAGCGAAGAATATTACAATTTCACATAGTGGAAATAGACACCAGAACTGAAAGTGAGATGACTTGCCAAGAATTTCCAGTAAGGACAGGCTACACTGGAATTTAACAAAAAATAAAAACAGATATCCTAGGGCACCAATCAACATATTTTAACAGGAAAACATTTGCCTTCCCACAGGGATGCTTGCAATATCTTTGTGGGGAGCGGATACACGACATGTACAGGGGTAGGAGAGGGGTAAAGTCCTGTTGCACAAGTGCTAATCCTTGCAGTAGCACAATTACTTAGTTGAAGGCTGCCCATGATAGTACGTCATACTCCCTTCCTCTCATGCCCTCAGAAGTGCACGTTTTCAAATCCAGTTTGAATATGATGTGCCACATTAAAGGTAAAGGGTAAAGGGACCCCTGACCATTAGGTCCAGTCGTGACCAACTCTGGGGTTGTGGCTCTCATCTCGCTTTATTGGCCGAGGGAGCCGGCATACAGCTTCCGGGTCATGTGGCCAGCATGACTAAGCCGCTTCTGGCAAACCAGAGCAGCACACGGAAACGCTGTTTACCTTCCCGCTGGAGCGGTACCTATTTATCTACTTGCACTTTGACATGCTTTCAAACTGCTAGGTTGGCAGGAGCAGGGACCGAGCAACGTGAGCTCACCCCGTTGCGGGGATTCAAACCGTCAACCTTCTGATCAGCAAGTCCTAGGCTCTGTGGTTTAACCCACAGCGCCACCCACGTCCCTATGTGCCACATTAATTTCTGCTTATTTCAGTAGGCTGAATCTCTTTCCCAGTGCCTTTTTAGAAATGCATCCAGACATGGCTTGAGATTTTTGAGATTATTACAGTGCCACCAGAGTATTTAGTTAGAATATATTAGAAATAATCTGTATTCTGATGTGTAGAAGGTGGCAGCAGCACTCAGAAGGAATTGTTAGGCCATGCACACATTAACATCTTAAAATGCTGTGGGATAACCAGCCTCATTTAACCAATATGCTTAAATCTAATTAATGAATGGAGGGGTTAATACCATAGAGTAAGCTGTTCTGCTAGACTTAGTTGGTCACTTCCCTTTACCTTGGGAGGAAATATGCAATCAACCTTATTGTCCCTTCACCACTGTGTAGCTGAGAAGCTCAGTGTGCAAAGAGGTTTGAGCTGCTTGATCCACCTCAACCGCATGGCTCTCACAAGCCACTCTTGAGTTCTTATATCAATAATTTAGGAATTTTCACCACTTTGTAACTAAGCTAGGTTTTACTGCCTGTGCAACATTTCTGACTGATGTATGAAAAAACACAAGAATCAGACCTTTGAATAGTTTGTAAGTCAAGCATTTTTAAACTTACCAAATGTGTAGTCTTTTCCTATGCTGGAGGAAGTGGGAAACTCTGGAAAGAACTTGGAAGGGCATATTTTAATGGTCTAACAGCTTATATTTCCACACTGTACTTTGCTTCACATTCTTTGACTTTAAATCTCTGCTGGGGTTCTTTCACCGATGAGTACTTTCCCACACAGAGGGCAACAGCCAAGTACATTTGGAGGGCTAAGCTGGCTGGGGTAGGGTAGGGGGTCCTGCCATCTGCTTTTTGGTTTGTGTTTATAACTTTATTCTAACAAGACTCCCACATCTCAGACTAGCTCTGCAATGGCTTTCAAATTGCTCCAAACTTGGATCTTGGCATTTAGGGAATGGATGGTTTGGTTTCCCTGCCCCTTTAATCTCCCACCCCAGAACTCTTAATCATTAAGGTGTCATCTGTTCATGCACTGTCATCCATGCATGTACAATGGCCATCTCAAATGTACACACCTCAGTTTAACTGCAAAATGAACATGGTTTACATTTTTAAATCTGATGGAAGCTGGTTTGAGGGGAAACACTTCATATACTATTTCTCAAGTGTACATGCACACCAAAGCTCATACCAATAACAAACTTAAAGGTAAAGGTAAAGGGACCCCTGACCATTAGGTCCAGTCATAACCGACTCTGGGGTTGCAGCGCTCATCTCGCTTTATTGGCCGAGGGAGCCGGCATACAGCTTCCGGGTCATGTGGCCAGCATGACTAAGCCGCTTCTGGTAAACCAGAGCAGCGCACGGAAATGCCATTTAAATTCCCGCCGGAGTGGTACCTATTTATCTACTTGCACTTTGACATGCTTTCGAACTGCTAGGTTGGCAGGAGCAGTGACCAAGCAACAGGAGCTCACCCCATCGTGGGGATTCGAACCGCCGACCTTCTGATTGGCAAGTCCTAGGCTCTGTGGTTTAACCCACAGCGCCACCCGTGTCCCATAACAAACTTAGTTGGTCTCTAAGGTGCTACTGGAAGGATTTTTTAAATTTTTGTTTTGACTACGGCAGACCAACATGGCTACCTACCTGTATCAGGTAGATATGGCTTGTGATGAAATGTCAGGTGTACAAGGATTCAAAAGACAAATCTCAGACAAAAAAATAGCCCGTGGCTTTCTTTCTTTTTTTCCTGGCTCAAATGCTAGGCACCTGGGTTATTTATTTGTTCATTAGATTTATATCCCACCATTCCTCCAAGGAGCTCAAAATAGCACCACACACCACCCTTCCCAATTTATCTTCACAACAACCCTGTGAGAAAGGTTAGGCTAAGAGACACTGACTGCTCCAAGGTCACCCAGTGACCCCTGGTCTCCCAGCTCCTAGTTCAACACTCTTAACCACTACACCACATTGCCTCATGTGGCATGAACCTGGCTTTCTTGGAACTGTAACATGCACAGAGCACAACTAGTGGAATGCATGAAAAACCCTTTTGAACATTTGTTCCCTTCACTTGTCATTTCTACACTGAAGGAAACCTTACTTGACCTGGCTGCCTCTAGCCCTTAAATGCTTGGCGTTGCCAATGCCCGCCAAAACCCACTTCCTTACCAGGCAAGGCCCATTTCCTGTTTCTTCCCCACATCCCTCATGATGTAATCTCCCGCAAGACCAGGGAACTTGTCTCTGTTGCCTGGTAACGCGGCTGACATTCCCCTCCCAGACTCAGCTTCAGGGCCACCCCCACACATCTGTTAGGCATCCTCAGCCTTTTTTTAAAAAAAACAACAACTAGCAATCGAATCGAGAGCCAGATGGAATGATACATTTAATAACATTTCCTTCAAATGGAGATTGGAGATGTGGTGCAAAAGAACCGCAACATCACATCGCAAGTGATCAGGTGGACTTCAGTACATGGGTCAATGTGTCTGTGGGGAATGGGGGAAGTGGAGTTAGACAGGAACCTCAGCACATCTTATATAAATAATGATATAATAATTTACTTACCATATATCTTGCTCTTCTGCTAAAAAATACCTTGGAGATGATTAAGGTGGTATATGTGGTTCTCCCCATTTCATCTTCGAAATAGGGTAGGCTGAGAGATGATGATGATGATGATAATAATTTATTTCCCCAGCCACTTTGGGCAGCTCCCAACAGAATATTAAAAACATGATAAAACATCAAACATTAAAAACTTCCCTAAAAAGGGCTGCCTTCAGATGTCTTCTGAAAGTCAGATAGTTGTTTATTTCCTTGACATCCGATGGGAGGGCACTCTACAGGGTGGGCACCACTACCAAGAAGGCCCTCTCTCTGGTTCCCTGTAGCTTCACTTCTCACAGTGAGGGAACTGTCAGAAGGCCCTCAGAGCTCGACGTCAGTGTCCGGGCTGAACAATGGGGGTGGAGACTGTAACTGGCCCAAAGCCACCCAGTGAATTTCATGGCCCAGTGAGGATTTGAACCCTGGTCTACCAGCTCCTAGTCCCCTACTGTAACCGCTACACTACACTGGTCATAAAGCCATATAATGTCATAATATGGTTCGCTAATGCTTTCCCCTGGGCTATGCAAATCACACGGGCACTGTGGGAGACCAGAACTGGCACGCAGCATATGCCCTTTGCATCGACTGTGTTTGCAAATCTTTCAGTAGCGTGAGTGGCATGATACTGTACTATGGAGCCATGCGTAACCACACACACCCTTGCTCCATATGGCCTTTACACTATGGTTCACAAGTGTGGCCTTGTACTCTGGATCATTGCACAATCGCCTCAAAGATCTCCAAAGACAGCACCTAAATAAAGATTTTCATGAGCTGTCCTTACAAATACATATCTTTTGGGAGGTGAAGTTAGGGGGCCTAAGTTATGTTTAACTTGTTCCAAAAGTGTCATCCTATCTCATTTCATTCAATGGGAGTTTTGCTGTTGCATTCGAAAGAAGGAAGGACTGTTCTCACAGCCAACATAAGCTGGAAAACCTGGCAAAATCAGGCTCTTGTTGGAGCAGCAGTACAGATCACACAGATTGTTGAAGAGTCTTCTTTATAACTTGTTCTTCCTTTCCTTGTCAGAGATCTTTCCTGGGTTTTCAGTGCACAATTAACTATCAAGCTTTTGGTGAAGAGGGAGGGGTGAAGGAGAAACAGCAATGTTCAAGGGGGCCAAATAATCTGTATTTCTGCTTTTCTTCATGTCCCACACAAGCTCAGTGCTTGACAGGCACACTTTAAAATTTTGCATGGTATTTGATCTCTCTCCTGGAGGGCCCCATGAATGCAGCCAGAAATGTTTTTTAGTGGGGAAAGATACATTTCAGTCTCAACTCATAACGACGCTTAGTTTCATTATGATTCTGCTATACTGAAGTAAGCATGCAATGGTGTGATTGATGCTTACTTGTCTTAATAATCTAGGAGTAATGCTTTACGTATGTCATTAGATATGGATTAAATAGAATGTGGCATTTGGGCAGATAAGAGCAAGAAAGCCTTCTCAGAGTTTAGCTTAAGCTTTTAAAATGAGCAAAATAGATACGATCTGAGAAATTTGGATTCATGCCATCCGTGTACTGCTGTTCTTTAGACTAAGAGTTTTTATACACTGTAAATATAAAAAATAACTTTTGACGTTTTAACAGCTACTGTACATTGTAAAGCTGCCGACAGGAATGTAAAAACAAAACAACAACAAGGCGATTTTGTTTGCATTCTCTTTGCTAAGGAGGAGGAGTCCCAACCAGACAGATTGGCATAATTAAAGCCCCTATGCAAAGTTGGCTTGCTTGCTGGGGGCACAGAAAACAACACAGAAAAAGAGAAAGAAATCTTACATAAAAATAGAAGCCCACGTCGACGGGCCATATATGGAGTACTGGAGACTTCAGAGGGATACCCTTTTCGCACCACCCCTTTGGCGAAAACAAATCATTACCGCATTATTGCTCTCCCTCCCCGCCCCCAACCAAAGCTTCAGCTAACAAATGCCCTGCAAAGGTGAACAAGATATCTTCAGGCTACAGTATGCACTAGGAAAGGTCACGCCCCGTCGTGTCTCCTTTAAATAATTTTAAAACAGATTTATCGCTTTTAATAACCGGTGGAGCAAAATGCAAAGGATTGCGGTACAGTGCAGCAACAGCAGCAGCTTCTGATGAGTCAAGCTCCCACAGACGCCAGCCTGCCTCTCCAGTTCCCCGCGCCCCCACCCGCGCGAGCCCTCCTTTCCCTCTCCTCCGCCCCTCAATAGATGTCTATTAAAAGCTGCTGACGTTGGAAACGACGGCCATCTTTGATGAGGGCACAGCTCCCATTCCATTGAAGAAGGAGACTCGGGGAGGTCAGCAGCGGCTGTGCTTACTTCCCGACTGCAGCAGTGCACCCCAGTCTCACAACCTTCGTCGGAGGCAACCGGACAGAGCTCTTCTGCAGCCAAGGTAAGAGAAGCAACGGATAAAAGCCTCATAGGAAGCCTTTTCTCCCCCCGCTTCCCCCGCTCGCAAAGGTGTGGAGGAAATATATTTCTGGGAGAGCTGTAATCTCACCAACCATGTTGTTGTTTTCTGACTGAGCAAAGAAGAGGAAAGGAGAAGAAATGAAACCCTATTTCACACGGCCGATTTTATTATTCTTATTATTTTATGTTGCTATGCGTTTTAAGAGTTTTCCTGCAGCCTTAACTCTTTGTGTGTGAGGGGGCGGGTTAGGGAGAGAATACTTAAACCTATATCGTTTCCTTCTTTTAAGAGATGGTGGTTGTTTTCCTGTCTGGGAACAACCGACCTCTCTCTCCCGCGTTGTCGTGCATGGCTCTCGTCTGCGTATCTGGCGCTGGAGTGTCGAGGTGGGATACGATATCGGGCGGAGATTGGGGTTTTCTTTTCGGTTGTTTTGCCTCCCCGCCCTCCACATTAGCCGACAGCCTTTAATGGCAGATATAGGTTCAGCACCCTGGATAGCGGCTACGGCTGCGGACTGCGTCGCAGCGGCGGTAGAAATCCATCAGGGCAGCTTGCGCAGCGAAAAGCTTCACTGCAGCAGTGGGCTTCGATTCAGCACTTCGGACAGCTAACCTCCTATATGGAGACCGTAGGGTCGTGGTCAGCACGTTGGACAGCGCTCGCCTGGTTGCAGAGATCCCGACTTGCAAATAACTGCAAAATGATAACGTGAAGTGAGGTTGGGGGGGGGGGAGGTTAGAAGGTTAGAATATGTCAGACAGATTGTATGTGCTCGTGTAGAGGCACATTAAAATCTTTAAAAGGCGACGGCGATCTAGTTCCAAGTTTCCAGCTTCCTTTGCGTCTTTTTGTCAACAATGCTTCCCCCCCCACCGCCCAGCGGTGCCTCTGTTTACACGCCATCACCCGAGATCACGCTGTGTCTCCATCTCAGAATATCCGCATTCATTGCCACTTAGGAAAGGCAAAAAGCCTTTCCTAACCTCCGTATTGCAGAGTCCAGAATTGCGAAACCTCGGCTTTTCGTCCACCCCCACCCCCCAAAAAACAACCCGTGGAACCTCGCTTTCCTGAGGGGAAAGCCTGTGTTTAAGCAGATAAATTCTAAAAGGTGACGGGTGGGGGGGAGGCGGTGGGGAAAGGGGGCGTAAGATAGCTTTTGGTGCCTTCACTTTCCAATATTAAAGTTCGTATTATTTGCTTGTCACGTTGTGTGCTCTGTTTTCAATAAGTTAAAAAAATCCGGTATTTTTTTATTTCTATCCCTGTCTCTCCACCCACCCCGCCCACCTCATCATTTTAATGACGACGTTTGCAATGGCCAAATTGCTAAACTTCCATTGGGTTTGAAAACAAACCACTCGTGAGCCCGGCGCCCTGTAATTTTCCCATAGACTGGGCTGGGCACCTTCATTCATCTTTTCCTTGCTAGTACACGTCGGAGGGCCATTCCTACGAGGCTATGGGAAGCAATGGGGCCAGAGCCTCTGGGATGCAGTAGGGAGATCTGTGCTGGATGTGGGTTTTTTAAAATAAAAAACAAGAACAACTGGCCAACCCACTCCCAAGCCCTCGACCGGAGGGGAGGGGAACCGAGCGAAGAGGACTCTGGTCTCGTGTGCACCGCAGAGCTTCCCTTAACTGTGCGTGCATCTTATGTAACCGATTTGCTGGAATGTCTAAAGCAACATTCCTGGCCCACATAGAACATGCGGGGTTCAGAACCGTCGACGCTTCTTCCTGCCATGGGGGAGGGGTTGCATTGAGAGGAGAGAAAAGGACAGCGGACCGGGGGCCCCTAAGCAAGGAAGCCTCAAGGGAGATTGTTTACTTAAGTGTGGGGGGAGCAGGGTATTCACAAGTACAGCTTTGCGCTTCCTCGGAGCTCCGGGCCACAGAGCGCTTCACATGTTTGCGTCAGAGGAAAGCTCTTACGTGCGAAATCACCAGTAAAAACGATTCCTGGTAGTTTTCTTCTTCATCGCAGGCGAAGGGGTGAAGAAGAAGAAAGCGAGTGGGAGGGGAGGAAGCCTGCAGTGTTACAGGGGGCGGGGGCGCAAAAGAAAAATCCTTGCGTCTGAGACTGATAGGAAAACCAGGGGACCGTGAGGCTTTGTTTCCATCTTAGCAGCGTCTCTGGATAAGTGATGCGGGGCGAGATCTCAGGGGGCGCCCATTCATGGCTGCAGGGTGGAAAGAGAGAGAGACGCGTCAGCTCGGCTCAGCTGACGGATTAAGAGGGCTGATTGAGAAAACTCCCGGAGATCAGGCAGCAAGCACCAGATTTGATGCTCCCAGCCTGACGTTTGCTTCCCACTGTCACGTTTCCTGGCCTCTGCGTCCATCTGCTGCATTAACTGCTGGCGTGGAGGAAGCACGTTGAATCAAGGGGTGCCTACATCGAAAAGAGGCTACTTAGCTGGAAGTGGTGAGGTGCGGTGACTTCTTTCTGTCTCCCACCCCCCACCCCACCCCACCATTCGGTTGTCTAAAAAGCTTTCAGGTCCAAATCGCAGGGGCTCTACTGAGCACAGCTTGTTTTCCGCTCGGGTCCTGGTGATAAGAATCAGGTGGGGTTATTATTAATCCAGCTGGCGACGGCTGCCCAAGGCCAGCTTCTCCCAGCAGATCTCTACGCAGCAAAACAGAAGCGAGCGAGACTTACCACGTGACAATCTAAACACGACTGATATACCTTTCTCTTAATCTATTTGTTAAACAAATTAACCCCTCCATGAGATTGTTGTTATCGTGTTTTTGTTGTTGTTTTGTTTTAAGGTGTGGGCTTGTCAGGTCCATCTGGACAAAGCAGGGAGGGGAAGAGGGGGGTGGTTTGAAGGATGCTGTCGCTGCAGACAAGGCGAGCAAAGGGTGTCTTCCTCGGGCTCACGACGTTAAGCACCAGCAATGTCCTTCGGGTGCCTCGTGACTCAGAGAATGGGAACCCAGAATAATCTCGAGGAACCGCGGGCAGCCACGACCGAGGAATCGTGCCTCGCAGTAGGAAGAAGAAACGTGGTGGGAGTGGAGAATGCAGCTGGTAGATCAGAAGAGGACCGATTGGGAGGGATGTGGGGTAGGCTGTAACCCCAGAACCTGATTTCGATGCCAAGCCCATCATGGTCTTGCTGCTTCTGAAGCACAGATTCTGCTTGAGGTCTTCCCATAGGCATCTGGTTGGTCCCCCATAAGAACATGATGGCGAGTCATTGATGGAGCAGGAATCTTCTTATATCCCTATGAAGCAACAACAGCGTTTTCTAAGCATGGGCAGAATGCCTTTCTTGCAACAGCCATGTCCAGGAAGGTTCTCCATGTATGACTTCCAGGTGCCTGGATATCAAACACATGAGAAGATGGACCCTAAAAGAACTGACAGCGTCACCTTGCAGTGGCTGGCATGTGGAACAGAGACAGAAGGCGCACCAACCAATCAGCAATGCAGACCTGGAAGCAAACGAGCCAACACAAGCAGAACCGGAGACCAGCTCTTAGGGAACAACCTGAACAAAATCTTTCCATTAGGACCTGCCAATGCATAATTCCACAATGGCTTGTTTGATTGCCAAATGTTTCAGGCAGCGGGAATTGGATGGAGCTGATGGCTGCTGCTTTTGCAAAGAGTGCAAATCAGCCAGGAGGATATTTCCAGACTGCAACAACTGAGATGACTTTGGGCCCTTGGTTCCAAAGAGCTGTCAGAGAGGGTATCCCAAAGAATGAGTAAAGCATGCCCTAGTGTGTCAAGATTATTGTTGTTGTTGTTGTTTATTAATTTTGTATAATAGATTTGTAGCGCCACTACAGAGGGCCTTCTCGGTAGTGGTGCCCACCCTGTGGAATGCCCTCCCATCAGATGTCAAGGAAATAAACAACTATCTGACTTTTAGAAGACATCTGAAGGCAGCCCTGTATTGAGAAATTTTTAATGTCTGAAGTTTTCCATTTTTTTATATTCTGTAAGCCGCCCAGAGTGGCTGGGGAAACCCACCCAGATGGGTGAGGTATAAATAATAAATACGTTTTGCCCATTCCTAACACCCAAGTTTCTCACTCACTCAAGGATTTATGGCAAGGATTTAATGTTTAGTTTTATATCTTGGAGCAGCTAACTTTTTTGCCCTGAGCATTGACCACCCCTCATAGGGTTATATGCCAGTGATGAACTGAAGTGGGTGTGGTCAATGCACACTCACATGCATGCACCCCAACACACACACACACACACACACATGCATATGGACCACACTGCCACAGCAGAGTGTTTTTCCTGCCCGTTGCTGGCTAGGAGTCTCTTTTCCTACTCCAGTGCTGCAGTGGGGAAGAAGAATAAATGATTCAAATGTCTTTTTAATTTGCAATGACGCCTCTTCTCTGTCTGATGCAGCACCATTGCAAGAAAGTCTTAGGGCTCGGCGAACGGGATGCAGTGTTGCTTTGGGTTTCCTGTTTTCTTTGAGCAGTTGTATGTCTTTAAATATTATTCACAGATGGGGAGAGTGATGTTATGCTTAGGTTCTGCTTGCTATGGGCATCTGGTTGACCACTGTGAAAGCAATGTGCTGGACCAGATGGACCTCTGGCCTGATCTTATGTTCATTTACATTTCCTGCTCCCTTTATGTTTAGATATGATCAAAATGCATCTTTGAATATAGTATATGGTTTTTATATGCCTTATGCCTTGCTCTCAGCTGCCCATCCACTTATGCCTTGCTCTCAGCTGCCCATCCACTTTATGCTGTTCCTCTGTGATATTCCTTTGCCACTGTAGGTGGATTGGGTTGGGAACTGAAAATAATACCAGGCAGGGAACCATTTGACATTTGAACCATTTTCCCAGTCTAGGAATAGCAATTTTTAGCTTCTCATAGACTGTTTAGATTGTGTCTCACATGTGGTATAGTGTTTTGCCTGTTGGTCATTTCACTTCTCAGACCCACTTCCAGTGCCAAGATAAACTAGCAAAGGGTGAACTGGCCACATCAGAAATCATAATAAATATCCTCAAATCAAAAATAAAACAACTTGTGCTGCTTTGTGAGACTCACGTCATGATAGTCAATAGCAGGCTTCCTCAAACTCGGCCCTCCAGATGTTTATGGCCTACAACTCCCATGATCCCTAGCTAGCAGGACCAGTGGTCAGGGATGATGAGAATTGCAGTCACAAAACATCTGGAGGGCTGAGTTGGAGGAAGCCTAGTCAATAGGGTGCCAACCAGAAGTTCTTATAATTTATTACTATTCAGTTCCTCTCCCACCTTTCCTCCAAGGAGCTGAAGGTGGCATACATGGTTCTCCCTGCCCTCCATTTTACCATCACAACAACCCTGTGAGGTAGGGTAGGCTGAGAGAAGGTGACTGGCTGAAGGTCATCCCATGAGCTTCATGGCTGAGCTGGGATTGGGCTCCAGGGCCCATTATGCCATTCTGGCTCTCAACTCCTGTTAGCATGGCCAACAACACAGAAGGTGTCAGGTTGGCTACCACTGGCTGTGTGGCTGCCCCTGGTGGCGCTGTGGTCTAAACCACTGAGCCGCTTGAGCTTGCTGATCAGAAGGTCAGTGGTTTGACTCCCTGCAAAGGGGTGAGCTCCCGTTGTTCTGTCCCAGCTCCCTCCAACCTAGCAGTTCGGAAGCACACCACTGCAAGTAGATAAATAGGTACCGCTGCAGCAGGAAGGTAAACAGCATTTCCGTGTGCTCTGGTTTCTGTCACGGTATTCCGTTGTGCCAGAAGTGGTTTAGTCATGCTGGCCACATGACCCGGAAAGCTGTCTGTGGACAACCGCCGGCTCCCTCGGCCTGAAGTGAGATGAGCGTCACAACCCCCTAGTCGCCTTTGAATGGACTTAACCGTCCAGGCATCCTTTACCTTTTTACCTTTTCTGTGTGACAAAAAACAGAGGAAGGCAATTCAGTCTTTGGGATGGGGCAGGTTAAAATGGCTTTCTGCAGGTGACACCATAAGGAAGAAGGGTGGGTGGGGATGCTTTAATGGTGCAAAAATCAATGTCTTAATTGTCAGCAAGTGGGAGCTGTAGTCCAATGACATTGGAGGGCACCCTGTTGACTACTCCTGGAGCAGCCAGCACATACTGTATGCACTTAGGAAATAATTTAAGCATGTACTAAATTGCATGGCAACGTTTTCCGTTGCACAATAGGGAAGCAGGAGCTTAGCAATAGAGCATAGCTGTCAACTTTCCCCCTTTTTTAAGGGAAATTCCCTTATTCCAAATAGGATTCCTCGCAAGAAAAGGGAAAGGTTGACAGCTATGGCAATAGAGACAAAACACACCCGCAGCAGCTCCATGTGATGTATCTGTGGTTGGACTGCACCACATCAGACTGTGCCGAATGGTTGAATGCCCCTGCTGTGTAAAGCAAATCAAAGCTAGCATGTGCCTGGCTAGATCATTCTCTCTGACATGCCATTACCCACCCCCAAACTCCATATATAGCCTTCTTCCGAGTCAACAAATTGCAGGCATTCACCATCCCATTCCTCTTCTGCCCCATCTGAATTGGCCATACTGTCTGGCCGCCATCTTATAGCATGGGGCTGCTGATTGTGGAGCTCAGTTGCCCAGACACATTCTTAGCCGCATTGTTGAACCCGAGCCTTAGGGCTCAGCTGACATCCTTTGACAGAGTCTTGAAATATCATTACTGACATAAATTGATGGAGCTGAAGTGAATTCATTCTACTGTAATTAATTTCTTCTGGTGTTGATGCTGGACAATGGCTTGAGCAATCTTCCTTGCCAGCTGAATTTAACTTACATTGATGAACATCTCTGCTGAGCAGAGCTAAACTGTTTGCATTCTAATTTACTGGACTGGGAGGGTAGTCTTTATATATCTGCATTTCACTTCTGTAGCCGGCTAGATCTTTAGTAAGCAGCATGGAAATGTTATGGCTCATGTAGGGAAGCCCCTGTCATGCAGAAGAGTTTGCTTTTCCTGCTTTGACCCTATACAGTGGTACCTCGGGATAAGAACTTAATTCGTTCCGGAGGTCCGTTCTTAACCTGAAACTGTTCTTAACCTGAGGTACCACTTTAGCTAATGGGGCCTCCCGCTGCCACCGCGCCACCATTGCACGATTTCTGTTCTCATCCTGAAGCAAAGTTCTTAACCCGAGGTACTATTTCTGGGTTAGCGGAGTCTGTAACCTGAAGCATCTGTAAACCTGAAGCATCTGTAACCCAAGGTACCACTGTACCTATTTATCTGGGAGTTAGTTCCCTTGAACGCAATGGGACTTGCTTCTGTGTAGGCATGTATAGGGCTGTGCTAGCAGAATCTTCCACACTGGGGGCTATCATCCACCCAATTATTTCCTGCTCTCGGGGTGAGTGTTACAACATTGCTTCTCTGTCATAAATGCAGTAGGAATGTGCAAAGTGGAGCGTGTTATATAATTCCAGGACATGCAATTCCAAGATGCAGTGTTGATTCTCCCATCTCAACCACTTGGGAATGACGCATACAACCAATTTTCTACAGCTTACTTCCACTGCAAATTTTGGAAACCTTCTGCAATTTAAACATTAAGAGGCTACCCATGCATGCACATGGGTGAAATATATTGTTATGCCTCATCCCCTTTATCATAGCTTTATAGTGTCCCTTCTTTGGCAGTGGTAGATACAGTATCTCATCTTTCCCAGTTGCAGAAACTGAATTTCTAATCCAAGGGGAAAGAAAGACCAGAAGCAATTTGTCCTGAATGTTTCACTGTTACTTTGGATGATGAATTCTCATCTGGCATTGACCAAATTGAATTCATGCTGGCTGCAGCTATCAAATGCATTTAGCTTTTCAGCTAGAACTATCCCAAGCCATGTGTGTTTTGTGTTCTAAAAAGCCCCCATTAAAAACTGAGATCTGGGCATCAAAATCATTTATAACCACATTAACGACACCTAATGGGAATATGTTGATTTACACCCATCAGGTATTTTCTCCAGTTATATGTGTGCAGCTACATTCATACAGACTGGTGATTTAATCTCAGGATTGCAAATCTGATTTTTTCTTCTTCTTTTTTTATGCCTTCATTGTTTCACAGATTTTGAAGAATTAGAGATTAAACTGTTGTGTGAATAGGTTTCTCCTACCCCGACCAAAATGCATTTCTTTCAAACTGTGAAAGTGATGGTGTGGTTGATGGGTTTGCTAAAGAAAGAATATATAGCCCTCTGCTAAACAGGGAGATGGTTAATATTTGGAACTGGGTTTGTTGCATTCCTGGAAGTAATCATTTTTGGTCAAACCTTATGCCAAGAGTCTGGTAATTCTGGGTCAGAATCTCCCCTTTCTAGCAAGCAAAAATAATTTTCAGTTGACAGGTTCACATATAAGAGTCTAGTGCTGATGTTGACAATTTGAAAATATGAAACTGCTTCGAACATATGAAAATTGAGCCCCAGACACTGGCTCATCAGGCTCAAGAGAAGACATCCTTTCAAGCCCTTCTGCTACCTAAGAACCTCTTAAGTGCAGATAGTGCCGGGACCTTGTGGGCTACGAAGAAACGCATCTATCAATCTTAAGCATAAATAAATAAAACTAATGGATGAAAGCAAATCTCTTACTTTGAAAAGAGCATCATATTTTGCTTGCAGTCATTGCCTTACCGTGTCCGCAGGTAAGCCAGCCCTCCCCAACCTGGTGCCCTCCATATGTTTTGGACTTCAACTGGTAGGGATGATGAGGGTTGTGGTCCAAAACATCTGGAATGGGGGAGGCTGATGTTAAACTTTTGCTGGATTTCAGAATTTGTTAATTTTGTATACCACCCTTCATCCACAGATTCCAGGGTAGTATACAAATTTAAAAATTATATGACTTTTTCTTGAAGAATAACATTTTTTAAATGCACACACACACACACACACACACACACAAATCATTCTATCGTTCTTCACTGTGCCTGGGATATGACTCAGCAATAAGAATATTTACATGGTGGAGGGAAGGAACTACCATTTAAAGTACACTTCTAGCAGGGGAGGGAGGGACCATTTGTATACATGTCCAAGTAATTATGTTTTGCACATCATTTTAATTTTTCAAATTTTTAACGTCCACTATTCACTGCTAGAGAAATTGGATAACTTTAGAATGATTGTAGCTGAGCATAATGGCTGCTAATAACTGGCAACTTCCATCTTTAACCATGAATACGAAAAGATGCTTCTTTACATGTGATTTCTGACATGACTGCCTTGTATTTGGTTGCTCCTTTGAAGCCTATTGTCTAATTTAGAAATGCCCTGTTAGAGCCACAAACAAAAGGAAAACTTCTCATGAATCGTATCAACAAGATCAATAACTATTAGCAGGGCTTGTTTGTAGTCAGTAGGCTTCAACACATGCATACCCCACCTTAAAAAAAAAAAAGTTCCCTAGCCATATCAAGACTAGTAGGAAGTCAGTGGCAGGGAATATTTTGCAATCCATATCTAGAGCTATATTCCCTCCAGTACAACATTCTGGAGGCCAAATAATGATGATGATGATGATGATGATGATGATGATAATGGTTTATTTATACCCCACCCACCTGACTCGGTTTCCCCAGCCACTCTGGGCGGCTCCCAACAGAATATTAAAAAACACGATAAAACATCAAACATTAATGCCAATGGTGAGCAGGACCAGAGTCAAAAGTGGGAAGGCCAAAGGATGTGGTTCTTACTTTCGTACAGTAGGACTATATGTTGGTGTGATGTGAACAGTGAGTTAAATTGCACAGGCTTGAGCTTGAGCTCTAGCAAATTCCCCATGTCTGGATGTTCTGAGATAAGGGTGCCGGGTGCACTGGGTTACCATAGCAACACCAGCAAGGTTGAATGTATGACTTGTTGAGTCATTCAGCCTCCCATTGGTTCAGGAATTAAGCCTACTCGTGGAGGCAGGCATAGTAGTCTCTAGGGCATTGCTTTCATTACGTCTTGTCCTGTTGCACATCTATGTCCTGTCCTGTTTGCTGTCAGGGGCTGACTCTGTGAGAGTCAGGAGAAGAGGCTGTGGGTTTTACACAGCAGCGTTTGCTAGCATGGCAATAGTGTTAGGGGATCTTCCTGCACATATGTATCTTCAAAGGCCAGAAGAAATGCATATATAGTAGACAGTAGTGTTTTGCTGCATCTTAGAAACACCTTTTTACTTCGAACTGTGCGGGAGAAGCGTCCTCGCCCTCCTGTAATCGGGGACTCTGGGAGAAGCTGTCTGCTGGTGACAGGGAATCTCTGGAAGACTCTGCTGGGGCTCTGCAATCTCTGTTGACATATCACACTGGTTGAGATGTGGTGACATCAGGGAGTGGGCAGAGGAGGAGTGGTGGAGACAGCCTCCCCAGCCTTTTAATTCCAAGAAGAAAAAAGAACAGTGAGTTGAGGGTTGGGGGGGGCGAAGCAGTGGGATCGCCACTGACACTGCCCTTCCAAGGGCTTGACAAAACCCACCTACCTATAGTTGTCACATTATTACTCTGTGACTTGGTGCATGGAGCCCCTTTGAAACAATATGGGGTGGTTATGTAATCATCTGAAGTGCCTTGTAGAGTCTGCCCAACATGTATTTAACTCCACAAATAAACTGCGTCACCAGCTAGAAAGCATTTCCTCTCTCATCATACAGGGCACAATCTATTTAAGATGCTGATAGTCATTATCCAGTGTCGTTATATTGTATCCAGTGTATATTTTTTGAAAACAGGCAAATGGCTCCAAGAGAGATGGATTTAGGATGCGGTAGCAGTTAGTGTTTGTGAAAGCCTGTTCATCCGGTACCCTTTAGAAAAGGAGAGCATAATGAAACGGAATGGAAAAACCTCCAGGGTTCTGAGTAGTCACTGAGCACTGATACATAGATGTCATCTTTCATGTTGTGCTGTAGGGAAAGCTTAACAATTTAAAAAATAAAAAAAAGAATTCTACACTGTGCAGGGATTTCTAAGACATCAGTATTCTCTCCTCCCCTCTGGTGGCAGAAGCCTATTAGGCTATTGTGTCCATCCATTCTGTATCTCAAATTTCACAGTTTCGGTCCCTGCCCTGAGAACACGTTCTGACCTTGAGAGTGTCCCATTCACTTATTAATAAAAAAGTACACCCTTATATTTATGGCCACGGAAGAAGTAACAATCCATTGCAACCTACTGTTGTCAAGGAGAAAAACGGCGCCCGGGGAAATTATCATTTGTCGTTACTGAATTTATCACGTTTGTGTACCACCGTTCCCTCAGTAAGATAAAGGTGGTGTCTAGAGATGGGGAATAAATGTGACTCTGTTCAGATTCCTGAAGCTGAATATATCTAATCTGTGCCTTCCAAAACAATATGAGCATCGAAACACAGCCATCCCTCAAGATTCACACTTATCTGAATTTTGTGATGCAGTTCTCTAGCCAAGCAGTGTTTATAAAAATGCATATATTAGGGGAAATGTGTGCAAAAAGGAATATATTTGTGAAAATAATATACAAAAATGCATTGCTTGCCAAAAAAAAGTGCATATTAGTCAAAACCACAGGGAAAAACCTATTTCTTAGGAGAAATTCACACTAAAATATTGAAGGATTTTCATGAGGATTTTTTTAAAAATGAAAATTGCTGCAGAAACATGAAGAACAGAAATTAAGATTAGAAAGTGAGAATCTTAGAGAACTGAAATTAACAGACCCTTCTATCCCTAGTGGTGAACATAACCTCCCTCCCATTAGGTATAGGTTAGACTGATATATTGGGATTGGTCCAAGCTGAGATAGTGAGTTTCATGACTGAGAGTGTATTTGATTTAACTTTCCTAATTCAAAATCCAATGCTCCAGTCCCTATACTACACTGGGTACATGAAGGGTGGAGCTAAGCAGTTTTTACTGTGCAGCAGAACAGATAAGTAGCACTCATCTATCTGTGTCTGTGTGCGTAAACACTAGCTCTCTGAAGGGAGGACCTTAGCCATTGCTAGATACTCATAGCAGACGCAATGTGTTTTGATGCCCTGGGTCAGAACAGCAAATGGTGCCCCAATCCCAAAGTCAAGACGCATAATACTAAAGGCAGGCAAGTTATTTTGACATCTGAGGCTGAACTTTCAACAAGCACCTCTCCTACTCCCTAACAGTAAAAACACAATAAAAACAAATTACATAACTAACATTTTGCTGCCCTCTCCTGACACCCAAACTCTGCTGCCTGAGGTGGTTATTTTACTCTGCCTAATGGGAGGGCCCTCCTGCCAACCTAGCAGTTTGAAAGCACGTCAAAGTGCAAGTAGATAAATAGGTACTGCTCCAGCGGGAAGGTAAACGGTGTTTCCGTGCACTGCTCTGGTTTTGCCAGAAGCAGCTTAGTCATGCTGGCCACATGACCCGAAGCTGTATGCCGGCTCCCTCAGCCAAAAGCGAGATGAGGGCCACAACCCCAGAGTCGGTCACGACTGGACCTAATGGTCAGGGGTCCCTTTACCCTTTACCTTTAATGGGAGGGCCAGTCTGAGTGCATTGCAGAACAGGCTGGTAGCATTCAATAGATCTGTAGATATGTATTTATTCATATAGGTTTAATATATGAAGACTGCATGCATACCGATACTCTCTCTCACACACATACCAGTAAATATTTGGGACCCAGGAAATGAGGCCAATATTCTGATAATTATCAATTTTCTCATTTGGCTCTGGATTTGGATGATGACTGGCTGGACGCAGAGGAATGCTGGGAGGAACCAGCTGGGGAACCACCAAGGAAAGAAGGCTCAGAGCCCAGGGAGTGGCGGTCAGACAACAAGGAGTAGTCAGAGGGAGAAGACTGGGAAGAGGAGATGTTGGAAGCTAAAGAAGAGACAGGGCTTAGTGAGCTGGGAGAGTCCGTGGCAGAGAGAAGTCTAGAATCAGAGGTAGAAGCTGAAGTACGAAAGGAGGAAGAACAAGGCGTAGATGTGAGTCAGGTTGGTGAAGAGTCACAAATGTATCCCCCTCCTGCTGTGACAAGCACCTCTCCCCACTGTCTTCCAGAACCAGAAGGAGACTGAAACGACCAGAGCAGCAGCAGGCTGCATGTGGGCACTGTTAATAATAATAATAATAATAATAATAATAATAATAAATTTATTTATACCCCGTTCATCTGGTTGGGTTTCCCCAGGCACTCTGGGCGGCTCCCAACAGAATATTAAAAACATGATAAAACATCAAACATTAAAAACTTCCCTAAACAGAGCTGCCTTCAGATGTCTTCCAAAAGTCAGATAGTTGTTTATTTCCTTGACATCTGATGGGACTACCAAGAAGGCCCTCTGCCTGGTTCCCTGTAGCTTCACTTCTCACAGTGAGGGAACCACCAGAAGGCCCTTGGATCTGGACCTCAGTGTCCGGGCTGAACAATGGGGGTGGAGATGCTACTTCAGGTATACTGGGCTGAGGAGAAAGCCATTGAGAGCAGGGGATTTAAATGGCTGTGAGGAGACAGGGACTTTCAGCCTCAGCAACTGATTCATGGGTTAAGACCTACCAGCAGGGCTTTTTGCAGCCGGAACTCAGTTCTGGCACCTCTCAGGTGGGCACCATTGCCATTCTAAGAGAACAAGGCAGGTGTTCGTGGTGAGTTCCGGCACCTCTTTTTCTAGAAAAATAGCACTGCCTACACAAATGAGGTGCTGTGCTCATTAGGCCTAACATTCAGCCAAGTCTGTGCAAAATGTGTTTTTGTTAATAAAGAGTTAACTCCAACTTTGAACGGTGTGATTTCCTGCTAGCTCACTCTTTGACACTTACTGATATCAGCAAGAGGACTAATGATACCTTGTTATGATAGCCAGAAATAGCAAGTAGTCTCATGGCATCTTGAAGAGTATTCTGGCTGGCCATACATGGGCAACAGCCTACTTTTCCAGACGTGTGAAGAGGTCCAGAAAAAATTGTGTGTGTATATACTACTATGAAAAATCAATCTAGCACAATGTAGCAAAGGAAATGCAAGAAATTATAAAGTCAGATGTAAAAAACATTACAGACCATTTACAGTGATGAAGGTAGATGCAGAATCTATTGACAGTCTTTCTGCAGATCTATTTGTCCTAAATTTGATTAATTGGGTTGGGAGTTATGGTTTTTTCCTTCATCAATTCTTCTTCCATATTTCTCATTCTGTTTGGCTTTTTGTCAAACATTCTCTCAGCTTTATCATTTGACCTTCCTAAGCTCCTCTAAAAAGGATTGATCTGGAATCCTTAGGCCAAAGTTTAATAGTTTCAGCAAAAATGGTGGGGACAGAGTGAGCCACTGGAAACTCATAGCTTGGTACCTTAATTGGGTCTCCAAAAAGCAAGTGAAGCACTTTGTTTGATTTTTGCCTATAAACCAGCTTGAAGATAATGAAGATCTTTAAGTACCGGTGGAATAATGTTCATCATGACAAACAACTTGGCAGCCATCAGGGGTGCCAACTTGAATAAAATATGGGGCCTTACCTGCCCCATATAATCAATCACAAGACACAGTGCATGTACACCATTTGAATGGCAAGGCCCATCAACTTGGGGGGGGCAGCCCCCTCAAATATTCTATTGGGGGAGCCAAAGGGCCCCTAGGAGTTGGCTCCTATGGCTGCCATATTCTAGAACCACTGAAATTTCCCAACACTTTTCAGAGGTAGCCCCATGTATAACACATTGTGGTAATCTTGCCTGGAAGTTATGAATAACTGTGGGCAGGCCATCTTAGACATTCTAAACTTTGCACAAATAAAACCTTTTAGATGCTTTGGTCCTTGACATACATCTATAACAATACGAAACTGATTTGATTACAAAGAACTTTGACATGCCCCTTAGATGATTGTGGACAAGTGTTTTTCCCTTACATTAGCACCTGTGTGCGATGAAAAGAAGATAAGAGAGAGAGAGCACTTGATGAAGTATAAAGTAAAGCCATTGCACGATGGTTGCAACCTATGGTTCATTGATTGGCAAGACACAAAGAATGGTATGTTTTAAGCCCCCTTCACCCCATTAGCGTAAAACTTTCTGGCATGTTTCATCCATCTGGTAAGTGTGAGTTATAGAGGAAAACCCAGAATTATTCATGAAACTGACTCCATCTAGACTGCAACCAAAGGAATCACTATGGCAATATCTTGGTATAGCCCAGTTTATTCCTTTCCCTTTGTGTGTGATTATATGCACTTGTGTATAGGAGAATACAGGCCTTTGGGCAACCTCAGTGCAAAGAGTGAATGACATTGTAATTCCTTCCTCCTGTACAACTTTAGTGTTTGTGAGTCTAATGCAACACAGGATGAAAGAAACCTCTTGACCTCCATCTCCACCCCACCAAATCTAGCTCTTCTGAACAGGTCCAGCAGGTCAATGATGAACCCTCAGCAGTCTAACTCTCTAGAGATTTTGCATGGGGAATGTGTAGGCCGATTATTGCATCTCTTTAATGTTTCTTCGTTCTTCAAATCTAGCATCCACAAATCAGCTTTCCTGTTGTTAGCTAACAGCACAGCTGGTACCAGCCTGCATAAGCCCAGATGCCTGCAGGATAGCAATGTTTGCAGAGGGTGGGTATTTTAACGGCAGCTCAGATGGCATCTTATCAGAGAGTCAGGCCTGTGAACAAAGCAGTAAATATTGTCACACAGTTGGGTGTGGCATTTGAAATGCATGGTGGAGACCCGGCAGACTTTCACAGCATGCCAGCAGCATATCAGTGTTTTGGATTGACTCAAGGTGTAAAATGTTTGAGCAAATGTTCAGTGGGTTTCATGAGAGGGGACTGGAATATTTCTGAGATGATACAGCTAAAACGATGCATCCTCAGCAAATATTTGGAAGGTTTTTATACTACTACTACTACTACTAATAATAATAATAATAATAACAACAACAACAACAACAACAGAGAGAGAGAGAGACATTCCACAAATGAGAAGTCAGGGTAGAAAAGGCTCATTCTTGTGTTGCCACCCACCAGACCTCCTGTGGAGGAGGCACGCGAAAATGGACCTCTGATAATTATTGCAGGATGTAGGTTGGGTCATATGGGGAGAGGTTATCCTTGAAGTATTGTGGTCCTGAGCCATTTAAGCCTTTATAGGTCAAAGCCAGCACTTGGAATTGGGCCTGGAAATTAATTGGCAGCCAGTGCAGTTGGGCTAGGATTGGTGTTATATGCGCAAAATGTCTTAGCCCAGTGATCAACCCAGTTGCTGAATTTTGCACCAACTAAAGTTTCTGAACTGTCTTCAGAGGCAGACACATTCTAGTAATCTAACCTAGAGGTTAGCAGAGCATAGACAACAGAGGTTTGGCTATCCATATCCAGATAGGAGCATAGCTGGGCCACCAGCGAAAGCTGATGGAAGGCATTCCATGACACCGAGGCCACCTGAGCTTTCAGCTACAGGATGGGTCCAGAAGGACTCCCAAGCTGCATACCTGCTCCTTCAGAGGGAGTGCAACCTCATCAAGAGCAGGCAACCTCCCATCTATCCAATCTAGAGAACCACCCACTATAAGTGCCTGTCTTATCTGGATCGAGCTTCAATTTATTGGCTTTCATCCAGTCCATTCTTGAGGCAAGACATCAGTCCAGCACACCCACTGCCACAGTTGCAGATGTAAAGGAGAAGTAGAGGTTTGTGTCATCAGCATATTGCTGACAACATACTCCAAAACTTTGGGTGACCCCACTCAGCAGTTTCATGTAGATGTTAAACACCATGGTGGTGCTGATGGGGATTCAAATCCTGAGGAACCCCACATTGAAGGTTCCACAGGGGTGAAAGCACTCCCCAAGCATCACCCTATGGAAACAAGAATCTAAGTAGGACCAGAACCACCACAAAGCAGTCCCACCCACCCCTAACTCAGACAGCCACTACAGAAGTATACCATGGCTGATGGTATCAAAAGCTGCTGAAAGGTCAAGGAGAATTAACAAGGACACCTTTGCCCTGTCTCCTGACAGAGATCACAATCCAGGGCAACCAAAGCAGTTTCTGTGCCAAAATCAGGCCTAAATCCCAACTGAAATGGATCGAGAAAATCAGTTACCTCCAAGAGCACCCATACTGATAATAATAACCCATAATTATGGTACACATTGTTTATGGTCTAAGAAAGCCTCTGTATTTGGGTCCAACCTAAGGATCTAGCCCAGAAAAGAAACTTTTGAAATCATTAGAAAATGATGCACAAGAAAGAAGTGCCTTGATTATCAACATCATATGCAAGAGCTATCACATTCAGACTTCCTTATTTATCTATTTATCGATCTATCAAGCTAGAAATGGTTCAATTGCACCTAATTATTTAGCATGGAAAATGAAATATCAAGCAGAATGTCACAGGGAGCCAGCCAACTCATCAGCAGTTCAGTAACTGTCTGACCATCTAAAGAGAAACACTTGAAGTATGACTCAGCTGTTTATGTGGGATGATAATTTGCATCCAGTCATTTCTAATGGAATGTGGCATCTCTTTTTCATTCATGGATATTCCATTAGCATGTTCCCAAGACAGGTAACCTGCTTACAATTAATTGCTGAATTTCTACAAATAATTACTGCCTTATGTTCTGGGTTTCTTATGAATTGACTGCAGATATCCAAATTTTAACACTGCACTGCTTTGTTTACAAATGGGAGTCATATCATACATATACCATTCTATAACGTTGATGCTATGCACTGATATTTATTTACTTGCTTACTTACTGACCTTAGAAATGTTGTTTGCATGTGAAAATCCTTTGAGAAACGTATAGGTTTTGTATTTTTCCTCCTATAAATTCTTTATTTATTTTGCCTCACATTCTTAGCACACAAGTACACACAGAGAGTTACATAAAATGCAACACAGCAAAATCTGGTAGTTATTAACTCTATGAGATTGAGTAGTTAAGTCAAGGTACTCAAAGTCCAAGAATGAGCTCTGTTCAGCTCAATTTGAAATTGGCTTGGTATTCATAAGCTTTCTTGATGAGTATTGGGGGAAAGCTAATCTCCTCTCTGAGGGTTCTGTACAAACATGTAATGTTGGCACACATGACCAGCCCACCCATGAGGCAAGGTGAGGCAGCTACCTCAGGTGGCAGGATCCACGGGGGCAGCAGATCATGAACCCAAACATCATGAACCTTCTGCTTGCTTCTTTCACACAGAGAAACTTCCAGAAGCTTCCAGAACCCTCTTGAATTAATTAGAATAGGAAAGATCTCTACACCTCAGATCAATACTTTCTGCACTAAGAAATGCAAACTGACACTGGGTTCTCCTGGGCTCTGCACCCAGCTGGTGTGATTCAGAACAGGGGCCCTTCACTTCCACAACAGCCGTTGATTTCCACTTCAACTGTTGGGTAAGGTTAATTTGGTTCCCCACCTTGCTCCTAATGTAGATCTTCACTCTCCCCTTGTTCCTGAATTAGATCTTTACTCACCCTTTCTTCCCTGGTGGGGGTCGGACACCGCTTTGAGGTCTGGCCGGCACATAAGCTAATAGTGCTACACATGTGCATTATTGCATTGCTCCCTTGTGTTCTGTTTTGAGCAGCAGGCAGGGCTTGGCCTGGTTTCAGTAGCACCCTGGACAGCTCCATGCAGAGACTCCATAAGAGCAGGGCTCAAATGTTGTTTCAGCACCAGGCATCCTCAAGCTGAACCTGAGGAGCTGCAATTCTGTCTCAGTAACTACCACTGCTTTCCATACGAGAAATCTCTTCATCTAACAGGGCACAGCTCAGTTAGAGTCTTCAGAATCAGAGGAGGGTAATGCTTTGGGTTCAGTATACACATCTGGGGCTCACCCTGAGAGCAATTTCACTCTGAATCCTGACTTCACCCCTGAAGAAGAAGAATCATGACACTTAGGTACCTGGAGTATTATGTCCATTTATGTGTTACACATATACTAAAGTGTGCAACCAGGATGGTGAGGGAGAAGCTTTAGGAAACAGTCAGCTCTTCTGCAAGATGCTGCTTCACAAAATGGCCGACACCCCAAAAAAGTCTGCCCAAATTCCAAGCAGTGTTTTATAACAACAAAATGAAGCATGAAGCACAAAGCCAAAGTGTGAGAGGAAGCAACTTCTCCCTTTCTTAGGCAGAGGCCCAACTGAATCTCGTACCTCGTCTTGTCAGTCTTCGGCAATGAAAGAGGATTCAGCATTTCTGTCTTATGACTGTAACATTCTAGAGCTGGATTGTGCAGCAGACAGAAAATCCTTGTACAATCCATGTGTTGCAAAAGGGCAGTTAGCATTAAATATTTAAAAAGCAGCTGATTTTCCAGCATTATTTAAAAGGAGTTGCAGTGCAATCCTTACCATGTCTCCTCGGAAGTAAGTCCAGTTGCATTCAGTGGTGCTTACTCCTCTGTGAGTAGGGTTTGCTGACTGAATAACCTGTTTTTTTGGAACATGTACTCAGAATGCAGTATATATTCAGAGTGTATATATTTCTGAGGCCCATGCTAGGTTGCATCACAATCACCAAAAATATTATTACTACTACTACTGCTGCTGCTGCTACTACTACTACTGCTACTACTACTATACCCCATCCATCTGGCTGGATTTCCACAGCCACTCTGGGCAGCTTACAGCATATATTGAAACATAATAAAATGTCAAACATTTAAAAATTCCCGATACAGGGCTGCCTTCAGATGTCTTCTAAAAGTTAAGTAGTTCTATATCTCACTGACATCTGAAGGGAGGGTGGTCCACAGGGAGGGTGCCACTACTGAGAAGGCCCTCTGCCTTGTTCCCTGTAACCTGGTGTTTCTTGTCATCTGAGTTGTCCATTGATTATATCTCTTTAAATATTACTTCATCTGACTGTAAATAAAGAGAGATGTTTACTTCTGTGCATCGTGATTAGCTAGGATTATATTCTAGTATCAGTAATGAGACACCAAAGCAGAGTTCCAGAGTCTATTAGCTTTGCAACAAGGCAGCATACAACAGTATAAATATTTTGTGTTTTTGATACAATGGTGCTACCCTCTGTCTCTGTGCTGAAGGACAGGAGAGCTCTTGGACGTATCTATCATTCCCAGGATAGAATACCCACAGTCTAGGGGAATTTATGGGAAGAGTCATAGCCCAGAGGTAGACCATCTGCTTGCATGCGTCAGTCCCTGGCATTCCAGGCAGGGAAAGATAACCCTAGAGAGCCCTTTCCATTCAGTGTATACAGTATTATACAAGATGGATGGTTAGTCTGATTCAATAAAAGGTAGCTGCTTTTAGAAATGGCGAAACTGACAGAGAAGATCAGGAACCAGGAAGATCAAGTATTTTTTAAAAGACTGGAGTAAATTCTTAATTTATTTAAAAGACCACTGTAAACAGTTAAAATCATGGGCAGGGATGTAATGACACTAGTAATGTGGAACTAATTATGCTAACTATGGCTATGTAACAGATGCATAATGGTAAAAGATGCAGAAACCCTTATTTTAAATATGGAACCCATGGAAGGAAGGGAAGGAGGTTCGATGGTCCAAAAGAACCTTTTATTTTAATGTTTGAAATGGTCAAAGTTAATATGTATAAAATTATGTAAAACCAATAAAAAATGTTATTAAAAAAATGAACACCCCCCCCCAAAAGGTAGCTGCTTTTGACCATTAAAAACAGTGGTGCAGTTTCATGCCTCGCAACTGTGTCTACATTCCTGATTTCTTAGAAAAAGCTAGCAAAGAAAATATTTGCCAATCTTGATTTTTTTTTATTTTGGGGGGAAATGAAAAGAAAACAAATGATCCAATCATGCACAGTTTTGCATATAAATTGAATCATAGCAGTATCGTGACGAAGGGAATAAAGATGAGATTTGGTTTCTGCTGCTGTGGTGGTTAGCACATTTGCTGAGAAGAATCACTGCTTTGCTGAATATTTTAAAAGTAAAAATAAAACCACGAGCATCTCAAAACATGTACTAGCCATTCCCCTGACATATATACATATTGTTACAAAAGTTGGGTGCCACCTCCATTCTCTGCCAAGCGATAGCAAGATCCCAGGGGGTTCCAGGGTTTAGGTTCCTTCAGAGAAATGGGACATGGCAGAGACTGTTGTAGCTTTAATAAATATGGTTTATTCACCTGTTTATGCCTTCAGTCTGCATGGAGGGAGTCCAGATCTCATAGTATGAACATTTCAAGAGGGGCTTGCCCTCCACAGCAGGGCAGCCATGGAGTCCCAGCCATATCTCCCAGATAGTCTTCACACAGCCTGCCCAAGTTGGATCCCAGTCTTTCTTCCTCCCCCTTCTCCCCAGCAAGACTCCTTTTCCCAGTCACCTCACACCCAGTTACCCTGGCAACCTTCCCAATCCCCAGTCTCTGTTCACATCTCAGGGCAAAGGGGAAGGGCACTTCTCTTGCATTGCCAATGGCTCTCAAGGGCCCTGTATTGTTTCTTAATGGCCCTTCCTTGGCCAGGTCGTTTTACGTAGGCTAGCTCAAGAATTCCTCTGCAGCTTGTATTCTATCTTCATATTCCAAATAAGCAAAATCCTGCTGTTTATTGATTTCTAGGGTTTAGGGCTGCCCGCCCCCATCAAATCTATAACAATATGAAAAGGAAAGATGCTGCAGTGTCCAACCTCGGTAGACCTGCTTGCTGCTGCCCACATCATTTATAGCCTGCCCATCTGTCTGGGTTTCCCTAGCCACTCTGGGTGGTTCCCAACAGATTAAAAACAGAATAAAACATCAAATATTAAAAACTTCCCTAAACAGGGCTGCCTTCAGATGTCTTCTAAAAGTCAGATAGTTATTTATTTCCTTGACATCTGATGGGAGGGGGTTCCACAGGGCAGGCGCCACTACCAAGAAGGCCATCTGCCTGGTTCCCTGTAATTTTGCTTCTTGCAGTGAGGGAACCACCAGAAGGCCCTTGGAGCTGAACCTCAGTGTCCAGGCTGGACAATGGGGGTAGAGACACTCCTTCAGGTATACTGGGCCAAGGCCGTTTAGGGCTTTAAAGGTCAGCACCAACACTTTGAATTGTGCTCGGAAATGTACTGGGAGTCAATCTAGGTCTTTCAGGACCGGTGTTATGTGGTCTCGGTGGCCACTCCCAGTCACCAGTCTAGCTGCCGCATTTTGGATTAGTTGCAGTTTCTGGTTCACCTTCAAAGGTAGCCACGTAGAGCACGTTGCAGTAGTCCAAGCAGGAGATAACTAGAGCATGCACCACTCTGGCGAGACAGTCTGCGGGCAGGTAGGGTTCTTTTAAAATGAGATTCAGAAGTCATACAAAACACAAGTGCGTGAGAAGATTAAAAAAACAGCAAGCAATATACACACACCAAGCTAGCTCTTCAAACTGCCACTTGGAAGCCCTCAAGAAGCAGCGAAGTGACTTCCCCCAGGTAGCCTCAGTTTGCACAGCCCCATGACCAATCGATCCGTGCACAAGCTTCTCCCTAACTCTGCCCAAAACTATCCAATTTAAACATAGCTAGCCTATGTGGCTTGCCCAAATGACTACATGAAGCTCATTCATTAGTGGCTATGTGCAGATTATTCATTATTGGCTACGTACAGATTATTCATTAGTAGCTATGTGCAGATCATTCACCTCCTCCCAATGCCTCACTTTCTCAAAACAATGTCCAACATCAAAGAAGGTACCTAGCACTACCCCTTCCTTCCAGCTAATTAGGGCATTAAAGGCTGTTCTCATGTCATCGAAGAACTTAACAAGAGATAAGAAGGGGAAGGAACAGAGGCAGTACCGGCAACCATGTCAGATCACTAACTCCTCAAAATACAATTTATCTTCCAGATAGATTGCCCATAAAATGCCCTCCAGTGGACCACAGCTCCCATTATCCCTGACCATTGATCATGTTGCCTGGGACTGATGGGAGCTAGAGAGCAACAGCATATGGAGAGTATCATGTTGTCTGCCCATGCTTTATAGCTTAGCTTTGTTGCCAGACTGTTGGAGAAACTGCTTTTCTCCAGAAGTGGACATGCATCCAATCCTGGTAAGCCTGGCTCATAGCCAAACAGAGGGTGTTTAAGTTATTGCAAGGCCACTTTATTTCCAAACTGAAAGTGCAGTAGACAGCCCCAAACACATCAAGGGTGCATGGAAGTAAACAGAACCTTCCTAGGAGATGGATTAGAAATCCACTGGTAAATCCAGAGGCTCTTTAAACACAGCCATTCACCCTGGAGCTTACTCCCCATTCGTTGCTGCCACTTTTGGAGAAACAAAAGGAACATCACAAGCAGATTTTTCAGGCCAAGGAAGTTAAGGTTGCAATGCGCACTTAACCTGGGAAGAAAGCCCATTGAACTCGAGGGGCCTTACTTCTGAGTAGGCATCTTTAGGAGTGCACTCCTCAGATATCATGCGACAATTACAGTTGTACCTCGGAAGTTGAACAGAATCCGTTCCGGAAGTCAGTTCGACTTCCAAAACATTCGGAAACCAAGACGCAGCTTCCAATTAGCTGAAGGAAGCTCCTGCAGCCAATCAGAACCAGCGTCCGACGTTCGGATTCCAAAGAACGATTGCAAACCGGAACACTCACTTCCGGGTTTGTGGCGTTTGGGAGTCAAAACGTTCGACTCGCAAGGTGTTCGGGATCCAAGGTACAACTGTACAATGAATAGTTGTCTGAAGCCATCGATTTGTGAAAGAGGCACAGCTGAACATGAACACCACTTCCATGAACTCCCACCTCCCATCCCTCCCCAAAAAATCTTATTTTACTCATGTTTCTATGCTTCTACCTGTAGATTCTATATGCACACCCACACAATCCCCCCACCTCACCTCTCATATACCAGAATAACAATGAAAGAAAAAGACTCTGTATGAATCAGCTTGTTTTATAGTTCTCCTGCCGCCTGGTAATAAAGCAAGGCAAAGATTGTTAACGTAACAATTAGTTTCAAGCAGTTAGCTTGCAGTTGGATTTTCCCTTGGCGGGAGTGTCATGGGGGAATGGGGAATTAAGGTTCTCTGTTAGAAAGGAGAAGGCTGTCGAGGGGGAAGTACAGGCTGCAATTTTCAAATTGTTTGCTTCCAAGTTGACATGCTTGCTCGATTCAGGCATCACACTAAGCCATAGTTTGTGCTAACAATTGTTTAGAACTGAAGCCTATACCTACCCAGACCTACAGCCACGTGCTTCTCTGAGTTCCGTCGCCAAATGATGATGGGTGGCTATGAGAAACAGAGTGTTTTCTTGGTGGTAGCACCCCAACTGTAGAACGCCCTCCCCAAAGCAGCACGCCTGACCCCCATGTGGATTTCAGTGGGTTTAAGGTCTTTCTGCCCTGCTGTCGTCTCTATGGTAGGTATTTATTCCCGTGCTGTTTTACTCTGGTTATTGAGCATGTGTTGTTTGTATTTCTGGTTTAAAATAGCTTTACAGTGGTACCTCGGGTTAAGTACTTAATTCGTTCCAGAGGTCCGTTCTTAACCTGAAACTATTCTTAACCTGAAGCACCACTTTAGCTAATGGGGCCTCCTGCTGCCGCCATGCCGCTGGAGCATGATTTCTGTTCTCATCCTGAAGCAAAGTTCTTAACCTGAAGCACTATTTCTGGGTTAGCGGAGTCTGTAACCTGAAGCGTATGTAACCCGAGGTACCACTTTATTGTGAATCACCAGAGAGCCTGACAGGAAATAGTTTGCTCGGCAGAGCTGGGGTGGGGTTAGGGATGTTCTGACACCGACCTCGCTGTTGGCCAGGTCGGTGGGCTTTGTTGCCCCCTGGCCTGGGGGAGGCAGGTAAGATCCTCCCCCTATTGTGTGGGCAGGATGGTCCCTCCCCCTACCTGGCCTGATCACCTTGGCAACGCCTCCCCAGCCGGGATTTGGCAGCTGGCTGAAGTAGGCGGAGACCTCCAGGTATCCCACCTGGGGAAGGTGAAGCCAAGCCTGTTTTAATGGTGCTGCATAGGGTCCAGGGGGCTGCGCACGACCACGCAAAGGGCGCCCCCATTTAATGTGTGGGGAGCTGTCATTGCTGAGATGTACTGAGTGCCAACCAGCTAGAGGGCTTTGCAGCTTGCAAGCCACCGGCTAAAGTGAGGTATCACCTCGCACTTTATAATGACACAGAAAGGACACTGCCTGCACCTGCAGTTCAGTCCTTGGCGCATGAAGGTAACGAGATGAGGTTGGCAGCAAAAGGACGAACAACTGCTCAGAGTTTTGTCCCGTGAACCTGCATTGCAGCAAGCTAGTGGCATTGGTAGAGGCGTCAGAGTCCCGACTCCATTTGAGGCCACAGCGCACCAGGGATCACGCCAGGCAACGGGCGAGAGACCACTCCGGTGGCAGAAACAGCAGCTCTTCTCAGGATTCCTCTTTTTCTCTGAGAACTCAGAGCTCTCGAGCCAGAGCCCCGCAGATGACAAGCAGAAAGGCGCAAAGTGCTTTGTCACCCAGAGAGATCAATTTTTACACCGTTCTCCAGGAATCTGCAATGGTGTCTGGTTCCCCTCTGTGCTTACCGCAGTGGATGTCAAACGCAGCGTTTGTCTTACTCATGCTTGCCTTGAAATGCAGCCCGGCTCTCCGAGAGAGGCCTCCCTGTAGCATTGTAGCCATGATGATGCTGATTTGTGCCCGCATGCTGTTTCCTCGGTGGTCTTGTCAAATCCTCTGCCTCATCAGGCTAGCTCCGTATAAGGCAGGATGAATTCAGAGCTTGGCATCCTCAGTGCCACCCTGTGGTCAGTCAGCAAGACTTAAAAAGCCTTGTGACTAAGGCCATTTTTTTAAATTTTTATTTTTTTGCTTTCGAGTATGGCTGCTGGCTCTGAGTCATTCCTCCCCCTTTGGCCCCCACTGCTTTTTTAATATGTTGCTGTGGAGTCACTTTTATTAACATTGCTCTTGGCCTGGGGCCAATGTGCCTCTAATTCCTAATGACAAGAGTCTAATGTGGCTCCACTGAAGGTTACTTTGGATTCCTAGCCATGTAAATAAGAACAAATGTAGCCCACGGAGCATTTGTGTGCAGTCCAACCTGCCCTTTTCATGGGGGGGGGGCACTTCTGTATAGGCTTATAGAGAAATGTAATGCTTGTTTTTCCGCCGCTCTTAATGAGTGCTCCTTTTAACGATTGCATTTTGTGGTTTTAGTATTCTGTATTGGGTTCCGGTTTCTTTTGTAAGCTGCTTTGAGTATTTGTTTTAATTGAAGACTAGGGTAGAAGCTGTGGGCATCCGTCTGTCTCGGGAGATAATAGAAGGGGGGACCTTGGGGGCTGGTCCAACTCTTGGACGGTTATAATGCCTGTTGTGGCTGTAGAGACCGATACAGGAGGGGTTGTTGTTGTTGTTTAGTCATTTAGTCGTGTCCGACTCTTCATGACCCCATGGACCAGAGCATGCCAGGCACTCCTGTCTTCCACTGCCTCCCGCAGTTTGGTCAAACTCATGCTGGTAGCTTCGAGAACACTGTCCAACCATCTCGTCCTCTGTCGTCCCCTTCTCCTTGTGCCCTCCATCTTTCCCAACATCAGGGTCTTTTCCAGGGAGTCTTCTCTTCTCATGAGGTGGCCAAAGTATTGGAGCCTCAGCTTCAGGATTTGTCCTTCCAGTGAGCACTCATGGCTGATTTCCTTAAGAAGAGGTTTGATCTTCTTGCAGTCCATAGGACTCTCAAGAGTCTCCTCCAGCACCATAATTCAAAAGCATCAATTCTTCAGCTATCAGCCGAACAGGAGAGGTGGGAGGATTAAAATAATAAACAATGATTTGGAGGCACAGTTCATTTCTTGAGGAAAGGGACTTCTGGTGAGTGCTGTCCTCTGTCCATGGTCCCTAGCAGACTGCCCTGGCAACAGCCACAACAACGGCATTCCACAGGGTGGGCATCACTACCGAGAAGGCCCTCTGCCTGGATCCCTGTAACCTCACTTCTAGCAATGAGGGAACCGCCAGAAGGCCCTCGGTGCTGGACCTCAGTGTCTGGACTGATCAATGAAGGTGGAGATTTCAGGGTGGTAAACATAGGCATTTCAGATGAAAATAAAAATAATTTATTATTTATACCCCGCCCATCTGGCTGGATTTCCCCAGCCACTCTGGGAGGTTCCCAACAGATTAAAAACAGAATAAAAGACCAAATATTAAAAACTTCCCTAAACAGGGCTGCCTTCAGATGTCTTCTAAAAGTCAGATAGTTGTTTATTTCCTTGACATCTGATGGGAGGGTGTTCCACAAGGCAGGCGCCACTACCGAGAAGTCCCTCTGCCTGGTTCCCTGTAACCTTACTTCTTGCAAGGAGGGAACTGCCAGAAGGCCCTTGGAGCTGGACCTCAGTGTCCAGGCTGAATGATGGGGGTGGACACTCTCCTTCAGGTATACTGGGCCGAGGCCATTTAAGGCTTTAAAGGTCAGCACCAATGCTTTGAACTGTGCTCGGAAACATACCGGGAGCCAATGTAGGTCTCTCAGGACCGGTGTTATATGGTCTCGGCGGCCACTCCCATTCACCAGTGCCACTGCCACATTCTGGATTAGCTGTAGTTTCCGGGTCACCTTCAAAGGTAGCCCCACCTTCGGGGCTATGAGGAGGACAGGGGTCCTGTGTTGGTAGCTGCATACATTTCAGTAGGTTTAGCTTTTGCAGGAGAGAATTTCCACTTCTAAGATGGCTGTTGCAGCCCTCTTGCTGGGCTAGAACTCCAACCACTCCCAACCATTGGCTATGCTGCCTGGGACATAGACTTAAAATCAAGCAACATCTGGGAATCCACAGATTCCACCCACCCCTGCATTAATGGTATAGGAAGCTCTTCCTTCTCTCATCTAATCACCTGAATTGGTTTTAGGGGTAGAGTGTTAGATATTTGAGATCCCAAGAGAGGGAGGCTACTACGATTACAACTAAGATTGCTACATCAACATCAGCTGTCACTCAGATTGATTGATTTGCAATGTTCACATTGCTAGAGATATACTCTATATCCTACAATATTAAACAAAGTCAGAAACTTCAGCTAGTGCAGAATTCAGCGGCCAGGTTGCTCACCAGAGCAAGACGGTTTGAGCATATTACACCGATCCTGGTTCAACTGCACTGGCTACCAATTAGTTTCCTGGCCCAATTCAAAGTACTGGTTTTGACCTATAAGACCTTAAACAGGTCACGACCGCAATACCTCAAGGACCGCCTCTTTCCATATGAACCTACCTGGACCCTGAGATCATCTTCTGAGGTCCTTCTTTGTGTGCCTCCTCCTCAAGAAGTCCAGTGGATGGTAACATGAGAACGGGCCTTCTCTGCAGTGGCCCCCATCTGTGGAATGCTCTCCTCGGGGAAGTTCACCTGGCACCTTCGTTATACACCTTTAGGCGCCAGGCAAAAATGTTCCTTTTTAACCAGGCCTTGATCCGATTTACATCACTTCTTAAAATGTGGCTCTTTTCTGGGGGGTGGGGGTGGGGAGAGTGTTATTGGGTTGTTGTTTTTATTTTGATTATATATATTGTGGTTTTTATGTTGATCTTTTCTGTGTATCTGAGACCTCCGGTTATAGGCCGGTATGTAAATTTAATAAATAATGAAAATAAAAATAAGTCCCAAACAACTTGGTTTTGGCACAGCTGTTGTTTATTTGCTACATTTGTAAGTTTCATGACTAGACAGAGATCTGATTCCAGCATTTGGTGATTCCAGTTCATTGCTCTACCCCAGGCATAGGCAAACTCGGTCTTCCAGATATTTTGGGACTACAACTCTCATCATCCCTAGCTAACAGGGCCAGTGGTCAGGGACGATGGGATTTGTAGCCTGAAAACATCTGGAGGGCCGAGTTTGCCTATGCCTGCTCTACCCACTACACCAGACTGCCTTTTGTTTTTTCTGTGGGATTCCTCTTTCGGAGCTGCTTGAATCATTTTCTTATGTTTCAGCTCCTGAACCTTTCAGTGAATATAAAGGTGGCCAGGGAAAGAGAGTGAGGGGAGAAATAGTAACCCCAAGCTGCTATTTGATAAGATTGAAGTGAAATGTATCTTGAAACATTCTCTCACTCCCACTGCTGCATTTCATATCGCAGAACACATGCACTCCCAAGTTCACACTGCTCACATTGAAGGAAAACGCATGAAAATACAGTATTTCTCAAGAAAGTGCAGGTTGATTGTGTATTGCAGGTTGTGTATTGCAGGCAATGCATTCCGTACGATGTTTCTCTGATGAAAATAGGGACGTCCCATTCCATAACGATAATTTTACTTTTTTTAATAGAATTATGTATTTGTTTTTTTAAATTAAAAATTTACAGAGCTATATCAAACATAAATCATAAAAACAAGATTCCAAGGAATCTCATGGACTTCCCTCTTCCCCTTTGTGAGTCCTATTGTTAGTCATTTCCTCCTGCATCTTTTGTAATAATCCAAGTCTTTTACATCCCCATTGTGTCCAGAATTCACCCTGAAACCACAAGTGATATTCCAATCCTGCTAACGATTTTAACTGTTTACAACGGTCTTTAAGATAAGTTATACATTTTCCCCATTCCTCATTAAAATGTTGGTCTTCCTGATTTCTGATTCTCATGATGATAATTTTACTATTTATACACCACACATCTAACTGGGTATCCCCAACTGCTCTGGGCAGCTTGCAACATTTATAAAAACATAATAAAACATTAAACATTAAAAAAAAAAAAAACTTCCCTATACAGGGCTGCCTTCAGATGTCTTTTAAAGGTTACTTATCTCCTTGGCTCAGGGGTCACAAAACTCCATACCCTCCAACATTTCTCCAATGAAAATATGGATGTCCTAAGAGAAAGCAGGACATTCTGGGATCAGATCAGAAACCAGGGTAGATTCTGTGAATCCAGGACTGTCTCTGGAAAACAGGGACACTTAGAAGGGTCTGGCAATGGCATTTGTAAATGGCTTCACAAACCATCAGCAGGAGTGCAGAATAACAGGAGCCTGTACCCAGACTGTAATCTAATCTTACAGATTTGACAAACATGCTACAAAAATGCCTTCTGCTGAATCAAACCTCTGATCTGTTTCGCTCAGAACTGTCTGCAGCTATCCCAGGTTGTCAGGCCAAAGCCTCTCTCAGCCTTGACACCTTTTGACTAAAAGTATCAGGGATTTGGGAAAATATGAGCCCTGTATATGATCTGTGATCCCTTTCTACAATCACAGGAATGAATGAATGGACAGTGAATCTGCATGTAGCTATAGAAGGGATCTAAGTGTTCTCTGAGTCAGTACATGGAGAGAAGCAGTTCTGGGAAACACCAAGAGAGGATATAAACCCAGAGCAGAAGCCATTTTGAATTCAGTTGTAGCAAAGGTATCACATTTATTCATTTCCATCCTTCAGTCCCTTGTGTTGTCATTTTACAAAGTTTGCAGCAGCAAACAGGGGAACTCGGGGAGCTCTGTGGACAATCACTTTGTGAAATAAGATCCAATATATATATAGGTTTTACATAAATTTATACATTATAACTTTAACCGTTTCAAAACATTAAAATAAAAAGGTTCTTTCAAACCTTTGGAACTCCTCACCTCCCTCCATTTCCAAAGAAAATAAATTCTTTTTTCTTTCTCTGCGTCTTTTACTGTTATCTATCTGTTATATGGGACGTGGGTGGCGCTGTGGGTTAAACCACTGAGCCTAGGACTTGCCAATCAGAAGGTCGGCGGTTCGAATCCCCACAACGGGGTGAGATCCCATTCCTTGGTCCCTGGTCCTGCCAACCTAGCGGTTTGAAAGCACATCAAAGTGCAAGTAGATAGACAGGTGCCGCTCCGGTGGGAAGGTAAACGGCGTTTCCATGCGCTGCTCTGGTTTGCCAGAAGGGGCTTAGTCACTGTATGCTGGCTCCCTCGGCCAATAAAGCGAGATGAGCGCCGCAACCCCAGAGTCGGTCACGACTGGACCTAATGGTCAGGGGTCCCTTTACCTTTACCTTTATCTGTTATATATTCATAATTTCCAAAGTTCATTTCACATTACAAGTGTCACCGTATCCCTGCCAATGATTTTAACTAATGGAATCCATTATCCAGCCTATGATGGTGGAAGACAAGATCAGCCCATCTTGTGCCATTTTCCGTAGTTCTGTATCAGCACCCATACCAAAACGCAGCAGCAAAACAAACCTAAAGAAGGAAATCAATAAAACCTTCTGCAGAGGGGAAGGGCTTGATCCTTGGATAGAAACAGTCTGAGCAGAAAGGATTTTGCTTGCTGCATCTTTCCATTAATCTGCTGCTCACGCGACATACTGATGCTCTAGAAGCCTTCTGATTGGTCACGGGGAGACAGAGGGGGGTGCAAGTTCAATGCCTATATTAGTACAAGATAAATCCTCCCCTGCCAAGCTATGATTTAATCGCTGGAAACACAAAGGTTGTGTGTTTGCGTGTTGGTTTGTGTTGAGTACTCTGAGGGGTGGAAACGAAATTTGGTGTTCACGTTCTTCTATCCTGGCTTCCCAAAACAGGCATGTACAACCACTTTAACATCCTTGAAATATCAATGACTTCCCTGCTTCTCTTTCCATGGTTCATTTTGCATATCATAGATTCCTGCATATTTTATAAAAACCTAAATCATTTAATAATAATAATAATAATAATAATAATAATAATAATTTTTATTTATACCCAGCCCGTCTGGCTGGGTTTCCCCAGCCACTCTGGGCAGCTTCCAACAAAAGATTAAAAATACATTAAAGCATCAGTCATTAAAAACTTCCCTAAACAGGGTTGTTTAATATTCAACATTCCATTAATATATCCATCAAATGTTATTTACACTGTTGAATTTATCTTAGTGCTGCCAGTGTTTTCAGGTGTACACAATTTCTCCCCATATATTCAATAGACGTTTTCCAGTCTTCTCTAAACAAATGTTCTTCTTGTTCTCTAATTCTATATGTTAAATCTGCAAGCTGCGCATATTCCATCAGCTTAAGTTGCCATTCTTCTTTAGTTGGGACCTCGCTCATTTTGCATTTTGGGGCTAACAAAACACGGGTGTGTGGTTCTTGGGGCTTCGTCGTATTAACATTGCTGAGCAGGATGCGTGCCGTAGCTGAGGACCAGAAGTCGGGGAGTGAATCGGCACCGTGCTTTGGAAACGAGCAAATAAGAATTATGCGTCTGTGGGGTTCTGTTGAACATTCCTGTGGCTAATATAATTTGTTAGTCAGCCTACAAATGTCAAACGCTATCAAATGTGTATGAATAGCAAAGCTACGGGTTTTTATGCAGTCGTCGGCCTCGGCTCCGAAACATTATTGCAGGAGCAATTTGACCTCCAATTAACGGATTGGCGTGAATGCTTATATGATTTTGCCTTTCAAGTGGATGAATATGCCTGCCAAAAGGGATGGTGGCAAGCCTAAATCATATCATTTGTACCTTTTCTTTAACGAGTCGCACCTGGAGAACCAGGGATTTTATTTCCAACGTCAAGCCGTTGCTGTCTAATGATCACGTTGGGAACCATTGACGTTGGTGAATGTTTGCTTACTTTGCCTGGGCCAACAACTAATGGAATGAGCAAATACAGTGCTCCCCACCCCCGGATTTGAACTATAAAATGGTGGTTTTCTTGAGTAAAAATGAGAGTACCCCTAAACATTTTTTTAAGAAAAAAAAGCACTGGGCAAATGTGTTGACTATCTAGGGTTCTGAGGCTCTTGGGACCATTCCAGTCAGATGTCAAGGGGTGGAAATGATAAGGAAGACACAGCACAGAGCTAAAATCAAAGAACTTCCCCTTTCCCCCCTTCCAGATGTGTGATACATAGGCAAATTTATGCAGTCTACACCAACTGATTCATACCACTTTCAAGAGTCATGGCTTTCACCCAAAGGATCATGGGAACTGTAGTCAGTGGTAGAGGAAGCCTCTCTGGCACCCGGTGCGGGGCGCCAAGGGGAGGAGGAAACCACCTGGCGGCACACGTGCGATGCCCATACAGATGGCACACATGCGGCAGGCCATACCCTCGGCTGCTCTACAGCTGGGGGAGGAGGTGTGAGCCATCTTTTCAACCCTCCCCAGGGTGGCATCCGGGGCAGACCGCCCCCCGCCCCTCCCTTTCATACGCCCCTGACTGTAGTTTGTTAAAGGTGCTGAAAGTCATTAAAAGGTAAAGGTAAAGGGACCATTAGGTCCAGTCATGACCGACTCTGGGGTCGCAGCGCTCATCTCGCTTTATTGGCCAAGGGAGCCTGTGTACAGTTTCCGGGTCATGTGGCCAGCATGACTAAGCCACTTCTGGCAAACCAGAGCGGTGCACGGAAATGCCGTTTACCTTTCTGCCAGAGTGATACCTATTTATCTACTTGCACTTTGACGTGATTTCGAACTAGGTTGGCAGGAGCAGGGACCGAGCAACGGGAGCTCACCCCATCGCGGGGATTCGAACCGCCAACCTTCTGATCAGCAAGTCCTAGGCTCTGTGGTTTAACCCACAGCTCCACCCGCGTCTCCTTATTACCCTTACAGAGCAACAGTTCTCAGTACAGTTTAGCAAGCCAATTGCTGTTCCTGGGCAACTCTGAGAAATGGGGAGGGGTAGGAGGTCTCACAACCCTCAGCGCCCTTAGCAAACTACAGTTCCCAAGATCCTTTGGGCGAAGCCATAACTATTTAAGGTGGCATGACGCTGCTCAAAATGTACAGTGCAGATGGAGCCTAATGCTAAAACAATTTAATAACTTATAGTGCAATCCTAACTATGTCAGCTCTCTTGAAGTCAACAGGGCTTATTCCCAGCTAAGTGGGGTTAGAAATGGTAGCCTGAGATTGTTTCAAATGCCTAACTCCTAATTTTAAAGGAGTATTTGAGAGAGTTCAGTTAAATACAAGAGGGAAGCCTCTGGAAAGAGAGTAAAAATGACCACCTCAAGCTACAACTGCTCAGCAATGATAAGAAGTGTATTACCAAATATTCCTTTGCACACTCAGGACTGTTTATATTCAGTGCTAAATGCAAGTCCTCTGCTTTCTGGTGATCCACTTCAAGTCAGGTGGGTAGACTACCAAACCAATGTGATCCCATGCCACATCTGGAGGGGGGGTTGGTTTTTGCATTTTGGTTAAATGGGAAAAATACTTTAGGGTAATATCACAGAATTGCAGAAGTTGAGAGTTGGAAGGGATCCAAGGGTTATCAAGTCCAACCCCCTGCAATGCAGGAATCTCAGCACATGGTCTCCCATCCAATTTGAAACCATACGAGACCCTGCTTAGCTTTGCAAGTGTGCTAGTAGTTTTATTGCGGCACCTCTAGGAGGGGTTAACAAAAAGGGGAAATCCTCAGATGCCAAGAACCAAGTTAGAAAACTCCAGCAGAGATTATGTTAAAATCACAAAATATTCAGCAAAGTAAAGTGTGATTTACCATTAAATCTTTAAAATATCCTCTTCTAAGTTGCTCCCAATTTTCCCCAGTTCCCCAGTAAAGAGAGACAACCCGTTTAGTATTTTTTTATTTTTTAAAAAAGTTTACTTACAAATTCTTCAAAGGTCAGAATCATGTGCTTTTCCATACAGCAGTAAGAAAAGACAGGCAGTAGAACTTAGGTTCTAAAACAATAAATGTTTCTAAATTATTTGAAACACAAAGATGGCTTGCGTAAAGCCGCAGAGTCTAAGCTTGGAGCCTCCAGATTACACCTCCTTACTGGTGGGATTCACATGGTGGAAGTAGGAGAACAAAGAGTTTGGTAACCCTTCCTTGCCCAAGGAGAGGAGGTGTGACCTAGCTAACCCTGGCAGGACAACTTAGTCTATGGTCTTAACCCCTTCATGCATGAATTAAGCATGCTGATTAAATGAAGCTGGATTTATCCCACAGAGGGCACCACTGTGTTACCCCTGCACTCAAGAATGGACACACACTTGTGTGGGTCAGCCAACGATTACTCAATTGGTTGCGGTGGGGGGACGGGACGATTGCAGGATTTAGGAAAAGCTTTGGGGGAAGGCTCTGCAGGCTGACTTTGTCTGCACATCAGCTCTGTGAAAGGTCTGGCATGTGATCTCGCCTTCCAGAGGGATTCAGGGAGCTGCTTCTCACAGTTCACGGAGAACGTCCATGTGACAGGCCTCTGTGCAGGCGGCATGAGGGGGTGGAAGCTGCCTGTTCCCTCCTCCCTCCCTCCCCTTTAGTGCTTACTCATTTGCCTCGGGGCTTGCCACAGAGCTGCTCAGATCCTGCTTATTAGTCATGACCGTACGCCGCTACATTCGGTCGGCTTCGTAAGATGACAAGGCTCAATTAAAACACAGTCATATCTGGTGGCTGAAGGGAGATGGCGAGGGCAGAGTGTGCGTTCCATGCACGCATTATGCACAGCAGTTAACATGGAGGGGTGGGTGGGGACTTGCATGGCTGTTTACCATTCCTAAGCTACACACACACACACACACACAAGGAGTTAGGCAGTATTAGCACACATGTGAGGGTATGCATCAGATGTTAGTGGAAAGCCTCCTCTGTGTGTGCATGTGTGCATCTTTGCACATGTGTGTGTTTGCACACATGTATATGCACAAGCATGTGTGTGTTCATATGCAAGGCTGTGTGCATGTTTTCTCCTGGTGAATTTGTTTTATTTATTTATTTATTTATTTTATTTGCATGCTAGATCAGATACTTCCACTTACAACAGCTCCTTCTGCCTACATCATAATATTAGTGGCTCTGCTGCTCAGAAAACGTAAAGGGCGGTGGCGATTTCTTCCCTTCGCTGCATTTTTTTATTTTTTAAAAAAATAAATATTTTAAAAAATACAGCAGCCATTCTGCAATGATATTTTGTTTGCTTAGCTTTTACTCAGGGCCGAGAAGGAATAAAGAGATGCACATTGCCAGAACATCAGGCAATGAAGTGGAGACTAGAAAAGAGAGAGAATGATAGCTGTTAATCATCCGTTCTGTGAAATACAAGAGCAGAATACTAGTTCTCTGTTGTTGTCAATTTGGAATTCTCTTGTTATGAGTGGGGGAATGGGGTGGGGAGTAGGCTGTCTGCAATACCCTTCTAACCCCTGTATCCAGTGTTAAAATATAACCAGGCTGGCTTTCTAATGCGCCGATCACCTGGGCGATGGGCCAGTAAGAGAACAAAGGGTTAAGGGGCTTGGTGTTAGGTGGCAAATGGATGGGGGCTCCCTCCCTTAACAGACAAAACCAGAGTTTGGGGGCTGTGATGTGAATGAGAGGGAAAGCAGCAAGCTGGATTTGATTTCTGTTTGAATCGAAAGCTGCAGTTATGGGAGAAACAGGACCCTCTTGGAGCGTTAATGCCATGAGCCCCTTCATCACTGGCTCAGGTTGCATATTTGTGTGAATAAACCATATATCCTCAAGACACCACAGTTTCTGGTGCTCCTCATTTCCCAAAGGAAACACAGACCCTGGAATCTCCCATCGCTCAGAGATTGGGGTGCCATGCAACAATACGTTACCAGGGTAGAAGTTAATCATATTTTTTACATAACCAAGGCTTCTGTTTTGTTCTTGCTGATGCTGATGCTGATAACGATGTTTAAAAAAACAAGCACTGCCTTAGTTTGCAACGCGTGCATTTGAAAAGAAAAACAAAACCTAACATCGGGGGCAAATAGAGCACACAAATAAAATATCCGCTGTTTGTTCAGGCAGCAGAGCTAAAATGTATTTGGGTTGGTCTTCACTGCCTTTTAACAGAATAGCCCCAAGGCAGCTCTGTCTTGTTGATGCTGCCCTTGTGTGCATGCTTTGAAAGGGGCCGGACTTTTAAAAGAGAACCTTGTCTGTCCAGTGTGCTGGTTTTGCTGTGGAAAATTACAGTACTTTATTTGACTTTCCTGCAAGGCACGTGCACACTTCAGCTGGGTTGCCTGCCAAGATTTGTAATTTTAGTTTTCCTTTGTTATGAGATGAACTGTGGAATAACAGCACAGCATCTGGGCAGGAATAAAACTGAGCATTAATAGAATACTATCCAAATTTCAAGTTCATAATAAAAGGAGCAGCACTTGATTGCTGGGCTGTATTTGTTTGACTTCCTTTCATTCTTAGGCTGAAGTCTGAAAACTGATGAGTAGCCTCTATAGAATTTCACTGGGGACATGGCGTACTTTGTTTTGTGACCAAACCATAAAATAAACAATCGGAGGCATATGAGATCAAGGGAAGAATGAAGCAAGCATTGCATTGACTCGGTGCTAGCTGCATGCTGCTCTTCCACATGAAACCATAGTTTAACATTACATGCTAACCAGTTTAGCATATGACTCAGGGAGTTCCAGATTTGACTCTTGCCATTGTCCTGAACTCTCTGCAAGTCTTTCTCTCAGCCTCAGTCTGGTGTCTGCAATATGGGCATAATAATGGTTGTTTGCTTTACATGGTTGTTGTAAGGTTGCAGGTTTATATACATTTGAAACACTTGGATGCTAAAAACAAAAGCAGAAAAACAAAGCAATTATGAGGCATTCAGGGTGAGGTGCATCCTTCTGTCTGAACCCTCTTATCTGTGTACAGACAACATTCAGGAAAGTTTGGGGTTTGCTGTCGCTGGGGGTTTTCAAGGAGAGAGAACAGATTGGAACTGCTGCAGATACGCACCCCGTTTCCTGCAGGTGGAAGATGCCTTCAATGCACATATAACCAACACTGAAAAATTTGCACATTTGGATATGCATTACAAGTGCATTACAATCATCATCTCAGTGTCCTTGAACACATTTGATGCAGCTGTGTGTGAACATCCCCATCCAAAACTATTGGGCGGAATGAGGGCCAAAGCATTCTTTGAATCAAGTAAGAACAGATGAGCTCTGTGGTCTTCCCAACCAGTTGTGCGAGCTAAAAAAAAGTACACTGGGATTTGGACCAAGTGGGCCAACTAAGTTTTACTCATAGTAGACTTATTGAAATTAATGAACTAGCCTAAATTAGGTTAATTATGTTCAGCAAGTCTACTCTGACTAAAACATAAGGCTTATCCACACTTAGGTTTTGCTCTGTTCTATCCAGGCAGGTCCACACTTAAAAGTTCTGTGTCCAAAGCCTATGCTTTGTGTGTGTTTTGCCCTGAGCTTTCCCCATGAAAGCCTGCTCTTTAGCGTTCAATTGGAGCAAACGTCAATCTGGGATTTCTGCAGATTGCTGTTTGTGCCGACTGAGCTTTAAAGAGCGAACTTTTGAGGGGAACACTCTGGAGCAAAAGGAAAAAAGGGCACTCAGACACAAAGCTTTAAAGCGCGACCTGCACCTGGAAAGAGTTGAGGAAAAGTAAGTGTGGATAAGCCCTTTGTAGGGAACGCAGGTAGCTCTGTGGTCTAAACCATTGAGACTCTTGGGCTTGCCAATTGGAAGGTTGGCGGTTCAAATCCCCGCAACTTGGTGAGCTCCCATTGCTCTGTCCCAGCTCCTGCCAACCTAGCAGTTCGAAAGCATGCCAGTACAAGTAGATAAATAGGTACCGCTGCAGCAGGAAGGTAAACAGCATTTCCATGTGCTCCGGTTGCCCTCATGATGTTCCATTGCGCCAAGAGCGGTTTAGTCATGCTGGCCACATGACCCAGAAAGCTGTCTGTGGACAAACACTGGCTGCCTCAGCCTGAAAGCAGGATGAGCACCACAACCCCATAGTCGCCTTTGACTGGACTTAACCGTCCAGGGATCCTTTACCTTTACAGTAGACTCCATGATAAAATTGCTGCCCGCATCAACAATAGCATCATCCCAAGAGTTATGAGTAATCAGAGATTTGATCCTGTGCTTGGAGAGGTCAGATTACATTGACATCAGCCCAACCCAGAGCTCTTTAAAAAGAGCTTAGCACCTGACCTAATATGTATGATGCAGCAAGCATTTGAGAGCTAACCTGAGGCACTCCTGATGTCAACTCCCATAAGCATCAGCCAGCATGACCAAGAGTCAGAGGAGATGGAAATAGTTTTGCAGCAACATCTGGTTAGCTATCCCTGGCTTAGCGCTTGAGCCATGGATCCATTGCATAGATTTATTTGTTGAATTTGACCAGGGGTTGTTGAGCAGAGGAGAAAAGGAATCTTGGCTTGCAACCGTGGAGTGCATCATAGCCTTTTATCCCCCAGGAAGAGACACAAGGAAAAGAAGGGCCTAAATTTCCCACAGCCTGCAGTTCCACAGACGGAGAAGTGAACAAAGGATATATCTCACCAAGAAAAGACTTCTTATACTTTCCCTTGGATCTCTGCATGGATAGATTGAGCAGAACAGAAATGATTGTGCTTCTGAGTATTTCTGAGCCATAGGACTTCACCACAGCTACCCTGAGGGTGGGAAATGAATTTCCCAGCGCCGGAACTTCTCTCTGACTTAGCTTCTGCCCCCAGTGGCTTGGCATCTGCTGCTTGAAAACTCTTTCCAGCTACAGAAAATTGCAGAGAGCAAGGCGCGCAGCACTATTTAGAAGTTCTTTCCAGTACAGTGGTACCTTGGGTTAAGTACTTAATTCGTTCCAGACATCTGTTCTTAACCTGAAACTGTTCTTAACCAGAAGCACCACTTTAGCTAATGGGGCCTCCCGCTGCCGCCGCGCCGCTGGAGCACGATTTCTGTTCTCATCCTGAAGCAAAGTTCTTAACCCAAGGTACTATTTCTGGATTAGCAGAGCCTGTAACCTGAAAGCGTATGTAACCCAAGGTACCACTGTACTTGGGAACGGTCATCTATCTATGGGTAGATCCATGTGGTATGAACCAGATGAAACTCAGCAATTTTAGTGTGATTCAGAATTAATGTGTGGAGTAAGATTCTACAGCAGGTTCCCCTTCCCAATACTAAGGGTTATTTCAATTGTGTTGATTTCTTTATTTATATATACAGTGGAACCTTGGTTCTCGAATGGCTTAATTGCTGAACAAATTGGCTCCTGAATACTGAAAACCCAAAACGGCTGAGATTGTCAGCTATTGTTTCGGGGGCACCTGTGCCAATTGGAAGCCGTGCCTTGGTTTTCGAATGTTTCAGAGAACCAAGGTACCCCTCTCTCTCTCTCTCTCTCTCTCTGTGTGTGTGTACAGTGCTTTTTTTCAAAAAAAAAATATCTTTAGATGTACTCTCTATTTCCTACTCATATTGAAATAATACTCCTCAGTTAGGCCAAACTTAGATTCACAAAATTTTTAGGGGTATGTGTACCCCTGCATCCCCCCACAAAAAAAGCACTGTGTGTGTGTGTGTGTGTGTGTGTGTGTGTGTGTGTATACACACACACACACAGTCATACCTTGGGTTACAGACACTTCAGGTTGCGTTTTTTCAGGTTACGGACCACTGAAACCCGGAAGTACCAAAACAGGTTACTTCTGGGTTTCGGTGGTCATGCATGCACAGAAGCTCTAAATCCTGCTTTGCACATGCACAGAAGCACTGAATCGCAACCCGCGCATACGCAGATGCGCCGACGTGGGTTGCGAACGTTGCAGGTTGCGAACATGCATCCCTCATGGATCACGTTCGCAACCCAAGCGTCCACTGTAGTTTTCTGTTTTACAATTTAAAATACTCCTTTTACATCCTTAAGATATCAATGACTTCCCTACTTCTCTTTCCATGCTTCCTTTTACATATCATAAATCCCTGCATATTTTACAAAAACTATACCATCCAGTGTTCCATTATTGCATCCATCAAAACTTGTTCACGCTGTTGAATTGATCTCAATGCCGCCAGCGTTTTCAGCTGTACACAGTCATTTCCTATATATTCAATCAACGTTTTCCAGTCTTCTCAATCCCATTGATTTCAGTCAGATAGATCTAACTGGGATAGCTCAGTTAGTAGAGCATGAGACTCTTAATCGCAGGCTCGTGGATTTGAGCCCCATGTTGGGCAAAAGACTCCTGAGGTTGAACTAAATGATCCTCAGGGCCCCTTCCAGTTCTATAATTTTATGATTCTATTATTTAAGCATTATTTAAGATAATAATAATAATAATAATAATAATAATAATTTATTATTTATACCCCGCCCATCTGGCTGGGTTTCCCCAGCCACTCTGGGCGGCTTCCAACTGAATATTAAAAACAATACAGCATCAGACATTAAAAACTTCCCTAAAGAAGGCTGCCTTCAGTTGTCTTTTAAAAGTAAAATAGTTGTTTATTGCCCATCTGCTGGGAGGGCGTTCCACAGGGCGGGCGTCACTACCGAGAAGGCCCTCTGCCTGGTTCCCTGTAGCCTCACTTCTCGCAATGAGGGAACCGCCAGAAAGCCCTCGGCGCTGGATCTCAGTGTCCGGGCAGAACGATGGGGGTGGAGACGCTCCTTCAGGTATACAGATATACCTGCATGCAATCAGCTTTCATTGGCTTATGTTCACTGTGTCATTCTGATTAGGGAAGTCAGTAATTTGAATATTTTTTCCACGGTGGAGCTTACACTGCAGTGCAAGCATAGGGGAACTTTGGCCCTCCTGATGTTGCAGAATTATAACTCCCATCATCCCACTCCATTGGCCATGCTTGCTAGGGCTGATGGGAAATGTAGTTGAGCAACATCTGGCCAGCCAAGGTGCCTCACTCCTGCTGTGGTGGGCAGTTCTTTGAACCAAGTGGCTCCAAACCTTTTCAGAATGGCAACCCCCAAACCCAAATTTACTTGGTATGGTGACCCATTGATTTATTCTCACATGAACTGTGTACCTTAGGTCTTTGCCAGCCATCAGTTTCATAGATTTTAACTTTTTCTATTTTATAACCATTATTTGAGGCATCCAAGCAACAATTTTCTTGGTGTCCCTATTAATATGGAATTTCTTGAAATGTGCACAGCACTGACTGGAATGTAATTGAAATCCATAAGAATGCAGAAATAAAGAAAATCATCAATTCTAGCCCTAAACGGCCTTGGTCCAGTATACCTGAAAGAGCATCTCCACCTCCATCGTTCTGCCTGGACACTGAGGTCCAGCGCCGAGGGCCTTCTGGCGGTTCCCTCATTGCGAGAAGCCAAGTTACAGGGAACCAGGCAGAGGGCCTTCTCGGTAGTGGCACCTGCCCTGTGGAACGCCCTCCCACCAGATGTCAAAGAGAAAAATAACTACCAAACTTTTAGAAGACATCTGAAGGCAGCCCTGTTTAGGGAAGCTTTTAATGTTTAATAGGTTATTGTATTTTAGTGTTTTGTTGGAAGCCTCCCAGAGTGGCTGGGGAAACCCAGCAAGATGGGCGGGGTATAAATAATAAATTATTATTATTATTATTATTATTATTATTATTATTATTATGTGGGGGCGACCTTATCTAAATTATATAATTTGGTATTTGAATGATTGATATTATTAATTGTATTATAAATTGGTATTGTTATAATGAGGCTATTATTGGATTATAATTGAAAATTAATAAAAATTACTATCAGCAAAAAAAAAGAAGAGAGAAGGAACGATAGTATAGAACACTAAAAAAGAAAAGAAAAAGAAATTGTGCACAGCACTGACAAAGCTATTTGCCATTTATTTTGATGGGAATGTCAGAACCCCAATCACCCAATTGCAGGATATTGCCTTGTAAGCTATAAAACATTATTATAAAATTGATTTAATCTAAAAATGGTTTATTCTAAAAATGGTTACACAAGCAATGTTATATATAACCAACTATAAATATTCTTTTTTTAAAAAAAAAAATCACAATGAAGTCCCATTTGGGCAAGTATCAGTAGGATTGCTGAGCTTGCATTTTGCCAACAAGTAGGTCAACGCAGGGTTTGATGGCTGTCGCCCATGGTCTCAGAGCATTATTGATATGTAGCCTGCTGCTGTATTTCATCTTCACAGCAGTCGTTGCTGAAAAATCTGTCTTGCAAAAATATGTACCACCAAATGGCAGCAGCACAAATATAGCTTCATCAGCAAGGTCAGTGGAAATTCAGTAATTCTGGTAACATGAAGCCAGAATTCAGGTAACCTCTCTTCCAAAAATCTATCCTTGAGGGTCCTATGTATTGCATGACAATGGGTTGTTCTTCTTGTGCAATCAAAGACAACTTGGTGACATCATTTGCAAATGAGTTTCGCACCCACTTGAACATCTGTTCCTTTTTTAAAAATATATATATATTTATACTTTTCAAGTTTATACATTTCACTAGTTTTACAATCATTCTGACATTTCAAAACTTGACTTCCTTCCCCCTCTGTCTGTGGTTCCTTAAATTTATTCTTAATATCTTCTGCATATCCAAATTAACTTAAATTGCTCATTTATTCGTCTTCTTTAAATATATACTCTTATAAGACTGCAGGTTACTACAATAATCCTGCCAATGTTCTTATCTGTTTACAATTTATCTGTAAATATTCAATAAACCGTTTCCATTCTTTTATAAAAAGTTTGTTATCTTGATTTCTTATTCTTCTGATAAGTTTCGCCATTTCTGCATATTCCATAGGTTTTCGTATCCATTCTTCCTTTGCTGCGACTTCTTTTTGTTTTGGGGCAAGTAACATTCTTGCCACAGTAGTCGCATACATGAATAAGTTTCTATACAGTTTAGGTAGTTTTGTCCCTATAATTCCCAAAATTAAAGCTTCTGGTGTTTGTTTGTTTGTTTGTTTGTTTACAAAAGTTATTTTAAACATCCTTTTCATTTCATTGTACAGACGTACCTTGTTTTGCGACCGGGATCTGTTCCGGAGCCCCAGCCGCTAGCCGAAAAGGACGTGGGGCAAAGCGCCACATCTGTGCATGCATGTGGAGTGGTTTGTGCTTCTGCGCATGCGGGAAGCGCAATTTAGCGCTTCTGCACATATGCGAGTGGCAAACCCAGAAGTAACCCATTCTGGTACTTCCGGGTTTGCCGCGGACGTTCGCCGGAATGGATGCTAGACAAGGTGGACGTTAGCGGAGGTATTACTGTATATCATTTCCCAGTGGAAAATGAACTTCTGTTTCTTCAGCAGAAAAGGAGTGACAAATTTTGACTAAACAAACTTCAAATCACCCTTGGCTAAACTGTTAATTAGCCCTGATCGCAGACCTAGTGAAACTACAACTAATCCAGAATGTGGCAGCTAGACTGGTGACTGGGAGCAGCCGCGAGACCATGTCTTGAAAACCTACATTGGCTCCCAGTACGTTTCTGAGCACAATTCAAAGTGTTGGTGCTGACTGCGTCCTTTATCACCTTAACCATCATCTATGTTATATCCAATACAATATTTATCACTCATGCAATTTGTGAAAATTAGTCCAGGTAAATAAAGATTTTAGTTGGGAACAATGTTGTTTTAAAATACCCTCTATAACCTTCCCACGCCTTTGTAAGCCTTTGGATTGTTTGATTCCTTCGATGGGGTTTTCTTTCCCTTCCAATCTCTGGCAACCAACATTCTCACTGCTGCTGTTGCGTATAAAAATATCCTTTTCTTATCACCTGGGATGTCTGTGGACAAAATACCTAGATAGAAGGTTTCTGGGTTTGGTTTTGTTTTACAAATATTTGTTTGAACATTTTCTGGGTCCTATTATTAATCATTTCCTCCTGCATCTTTTATGATAATCCAAATCTTTTACATCTCCCATTATGTCCAGAATTCAACCTTAAACTACAAGTGATAGCCTACTTATGATTTTAACTGTTTACAGTGGTCTTTAAGATAAGTTATAAATTTCCCCCATTCCTGCCAATGTTCTTATCTGTTTAAAATTTATCTGTAAATATTCAATAAACCATTTCCATTACAATTGCACACCCCTCTGCAAAGGAGTCTTTAAAAATACCTCAAACCTGGGGGCTTAATTCATGGATGATGAAATGATCTTGAAAGATGTTGTCACCATCCTTTCCCCATTTTTGGCTTAACACTACGAGAAACTATTTTTCTAGCTGCTACAATGAGTGGTTGTCTGAGGCTCTGAGCATCAAACAGATTCAGAATCATTACCTGAGACATTTTTTGTCTCTCCCTTTTCTAGCCTATGCACCACAGCACAGCTGTAACGTTAATTGCACGCAATTAAGACAATTTATTGCAAAGATATCAATTAGTAGTAAATTGTGCAGATTCTGCGGGGTCCGTAGCTGGAAATCTGGAATTATTCTTCTGTGCAATGTACTTTTTGCAAATGAGTAACCTTGTTGAATTGCTCTGCTGTTTCTATAAATAAAGATGAGCCAGGCCTCCTGTGGGGCATCGTTAATTATGACTAAATACTGGTATACAATCCCCTTTTCTTAAAGAAATCATTTGCGGTGCTTTACAAACACGGATGACCTTGTCAGAGCAATCCACATATTACAAAACACTTTTGCTGTTCTGACCCCTGAGGAGCTGGATGTGGGTGGTACAGCTCATCGGAAGCTATACTTCTAGGAATAAGGAAAACCTCTGTTATAAGACAGCATCTTAAAAAGAGACATCACCTTGCCAACAAAGGTCCGTATAGTAAAAGCTATGGTTTTCCCAGTAGTGATGTATGGAAGTGAAAGCTGGACCATAAAGAAGGCTGATCGCCGAAGAATTGATGCTTTTGAATTATGGTGCTGGACGAGACTCTTGAGAGTCCCATGGACTGCAAGAAGATCAAACCTTTCCATTCTTAAGGAAATCAGCCCTGAGTACTCACTGGAAGGACAGATCCTGAAGCTGAGGCTCCAATACTTTGGCCACCTCATGAGAAGAGAAGACTCCCTGGAAAACACCCTGATGTTGGGAAAGATGGAGGGCACAAGGAGAAGGGGACGACAGAGGACGAGATGGTTGGATAGTGTTCTTGAAGCTACCAACATGAGTTTGACCAAACTGCGGGAGGCAGTGGAAGACAGAAGTGCCTGGTGTGCTCTGGTCCATGGGGTCACAAAGAGTCGGACACGACTAAACGACTAAACAACAACAACAACTGTTATAAGAATCTCAAATATAAAATAAATGTTCATAAATGCAGTGCTTTTTTCTAAAAAAAATGTTTAGGGGTACTCTCATTTTGACTCAAGAAAATCACCACTTTATAGTTCAAATTGGGAAAAATAAATACAGTAAATGGACAAAAGTACAAAGATTCACAAAATGTTTAGGGGTATGCGTACCTCCCAGAAAAAAGCACTGCATAAACGTACAAGGCAAACCATACATACACAAGCATATAAACCACGTGTCTGAAACAGTACAGGAGAACAAATCTGAAGCCATTTTGACTCTCCCAAATTGACCTCAAATATTTATCTGCAAGGAGGAAGGAAATGGGAAAAGCTTTCCAATTGTCTTTGGACTGTAGAGGCTTACACCTCCCTTTTCAAATACAGTCGGGTAAATATCTGTTAAGCTGAGCAAACTATCAATATGCGTAAGGAATTCAGGAACTAAAGCACAGTGGTACCTTGGTTCTCAAACTTAATCCGTTCCAGAAGTCCATTCCAAAACCAAAGTGTTCCAAAACCAAGGCGTGCTTTCCCATAGAAAGTAATGCAAAATGGATTAATCCGTTCCAGACTTTTAAAAACAACCCCTAAAACAGCAATTTAACATGAATTTCACTAACAAGACTAACAAAAAAATAAAGCAATAATCAATGTACTGTACTATAAAATAAATAAGACGGTATTGTATATGATAAAAATTAAAATTAATTGTTTTTCTTACATGCACTGATGATAGGCATTGTTTGGATGGGGGGCTTTGATCCATTTCCACAGTCACACAATCAATCAATCAATCAATCAATCAGTAGCTGAACTGGGTTCCACACAGTCACAAAAACAAATGAACCGAAAAAGCCTCAAAAACGCAAAATAAATAGCAAAAACAAAAGTGCCAAATACAGTGGTACCTTGGTTCTTGAACTTAATCCACTCCAGAAGTCTGTTTGACTCCCAAAATGTTTGAAAACCAAGGAGCGGCTTCTGATTGGTGCAGGAGCCTCGGAAACAATAGCCGACAGCTGCATTGCATGTTCGGCTTCAGAAAAACGTTCTAAAACCAGAACACTTACTTCTGGGTTTCCGGTGTTTGGGAACCAAGGCATTTGAGTACCAAGGCATTTGAAAACCAAGGTACCACTGTATTTACCATCTCAAAGGAATGGCCAGGCTATCCAGAAAATGCAAGCAAGTAAGGCATTATGAGGTATCCTGGCAGACAGGAGAGAAGCAACACTCAAATTTCCGCTGCAGACCTCCTCCTTCTGTGATGTATGTATGTTTTGGAGGGGGTGGTCTTGAGCTACAGAGGGGGCAATTTCAAAAGTCTGTATAGGGGCTCACACACCATTGTTCCGTGTTCTCCTCCCTCCTGTGTGTGGTGAGTGGGGACTCTGTTGCAACAGTTTATTTCCTTTAATAAAGATCAGGCTTACTAGCCGCTTTGCTTCTCAATATACTGTATTTTTCGCCCCATAGGACACACCTAGTTTTTTTGGGGGGGGGGAATAAAGAAAAAAAATTATTCCCCCCCCCCCAAGCGCGGGGCTGGTGCGGGGGAAGCCCGAGCTTCCCCCAACCCCAGCCCCGAGAACAGCCTGCTATCCGCAAGCGTAGGGAGCCCGGCGGGAAGTCGCGCCGGTCTCCCCAGGCTTGCGGAGAGCTGCACGAAGCCCGGGCGCGCTCTTCAGCGCGCCCCAGGCTTCAGAATGCAGGCAGCTCTGCGCAATCCTTGGGAGACGGGCATGACTTTGCGCCGGGTTCCCTAGGGTTGTGCAGAGCTGCGCGAAGCCCGGGACTGCAGGCAGCTCTGCGCAACCCTCGGGAGCCCATTTTTTTAAAGTTCTCGTGCAGAGCTGTCAACAATCTCTACTAATGGACACCTTTTCCTATATACCTTTTAACATTCACATTTTGGCCAATGAACTTCCCTAACATAATTCATTTTTAGTTTTTTGAAATGATTCTACTCTTTTAGGACCCTGTGTGTTTGTGTTTTATTCTGTTTTATTCTGCACTGCTTTGATGGCATCATGCTCTGAAATGCTGCAAAAATTTGGTACTGTAAATAGATAGTGATATTTTTGTATATTTTCATGAATGTATGCATTTTCTGCACATTTCTTTGTCTGGAGCACCGCACCAGGATAGCTGTAATTCAGTTTTCACGGTTTTTCAGTGAGTTAAAATTAGGTCGCTTCCCATTAAAATGTGAGCTGAGCTGATTTCTCCCCGTACAGACCCATTCATACCACAAGAAGACCTAAACAGCTTAGGTGCAGGATCCTTTAAAGAGCACCTCATCCCATACCATCCTGCCTGCTCCCCTGAGATCCAAAGAACAGGCCTTTCTCTGTGTCTCACTGAAGCAGAGCTGGGTGGAAAATAGGCAGGGTCTTCTCAGTGGTTGCCCCATGTAGGAATGAAACACTTTGCTCTAGGAACCGCAGGTCCCTCACATGTTTTTCTCTTGTTACTGAAACCCTATTTATTCTAGAAAGCTTTCATTTTATGAGACTGTGTTTTTATTATTTCTTTAAACTACTGCATGCCCCCTCTTTCTTTTTCTTTTTCTTTCTTTTCTTTCTTTTTGCTTTATACTATGTTACAAAAGCACTTTATGTTGTCGCAAGCCACCCTGAGTGTGCTTTGACACTTAGAAGGGTGGGATAAAACTTCCAGCTAAATAAATAAATTGCTGTTCGATAAGTCACCAAGAGGCAGCTTACAGGAGCTGCTGTAACGTTTGCAAGATATTGGTCTGCAGAACGTGAATACCGTATTTTTCGCGCTAAATTTTTTTCTTTATTCCCCCCCCCAAAAAAAACTAGGTGCATCCTATAGGGCGGTGCGTCCTATGGGGCGAAAAATACGGTATTAATGTGTGAAAAAGTATATCAGCTTACTGTGAAGAGGAGATGCACAGCCTTGGGCTGTAGTCCTTGTATTTTGCCCTGTCTTGCAAAAGTAGCATAGAGAAGTTCTCATAGAATATTCTATCTCCTGCAACCTACTTTATAGGTGCCTGAATGGTTTTATTCCTTTCAATTTTATTGTGGCCACACATGTATTTGCAATCTCCCTGGTCGTGAATGGGGTAGCTGTGCCCCTGAAGGACCAGGTGTGCAGCCTGGGAGTCATTTTGGACTCACAGCTGTCCATGGAGGCACAGGTCAATTCTGTGTCCAGGGCAGCTGTTTATCAGCTCCATCTGGTACGCAGGCTGAGACCCTACCTGTCCGCAGACTGTCTCGCCAGAGTGGTGCATGCTCTAGTTATCTCCTGCTTAGACTACTGCAATGCGCTCTACGTGGGCCTACCTTTGAAGGTGACCCGGAAACTACAACTAATCCAGAATGTGGCAGCTACACTGGTGAATGGGAGTGGCCGCTGAGACCATATAACACTGGTCCTGAAAGACCTACATTGGCTCCCAGTACATTTCTGAGCACAATTCAAAGTGTTGGTGCTGACCTTTAAAGCCCTAAATGACCTCGGTGCAGTATACCTGAAGGTGCGTCTCCACCCCCATCATTCAGCCAGGACACTGAGATCCAGCGCCGAGGGCCTTCTGGCGGTTCCCTCATTGTGAGAAGTGAGGTTACAGGGAACCAGGCAGAGGGCCTTCTTGGTATTGACGCCCACCCTGTGGAAAGCTCTCCCATCAGGTGTCAAGGAAATGAACAACTATCTGACTTTTAGAAGACATCTGAAGGCAGCCCTGTTTAGGGAAGTTTTTAATATTTAACGTTTTATTCTGTTGGGAACCGCCCAGAGTGGCTGGGAAAACCCAGCCGGATGGGCGGGGTATAAATAAAAAATTATTTTTATTTTTATCTGAAATGCCTATGTTTACCACTCTGAAATCCATTTCTGGATGAAGGATGATTTATAAATTTTAAAAATAAATAAGCCATCTTGGATCTCGGGGAGATCAGGAGCCACAACTGATATTCCTCCACATAAATGTCATGTGTGCCATCTCTGTCTCTGGCCACTTCTGTCTCTGTCATTTTTTTGCTCCACCCATCTGCACATGTCTAGTTCCTCTTCATTGCCATTCCTGGTTGTTTCTCCTCTTCATATTCTGGTGGGTTCCCGGGATGTTCCCCCAATCTCTACCTACCCCCTCACTTTCAAGTCAATCTTCCTGTTGACAGCCAGATTGCTGCACAACTACAGTGGCACCTCGGGTTACAGACTCTTCAGGTTACAAACTCTGCTAACCCAGAAATAGTACCTCAGTTTAAGAACTTTGCTTCAGGATGAGAACAGAAATTGCATCAGTGGAAGGCCCCATTAGCTAAAGTGGTACCTCGGGTTAAGAACAGACCTCTGGAACGAATTAAGTTCTTAACCTGAGGTACCACTGTATTTCTGAAGTGGAGGAGACACTGAAAATACATTCATGTGGAATACAGTTTTGAAAATCTGAGTCTCCAATATAACGCTTGATGGCTTATTTAAGGTTTGTTTGGTTTGTCATGTCTGCGAGATAGCGGTTATGTCAACATCCAGGCAATTGCCTCTTGTTCAGATTTAATTAACAGACGCATCTCAGTGAGAAGAGTCCTCTCTCCCACAGTGGTGATGCGTCATCGAGGAAAAGTGATTTCATAAACTGAAATCCTCTCACTGTCAATGGGCACAGGTTTCGGAGGAGTTCCCTGATGCCAAGTTCATCCTATCAACTAAAGTAGGGAAAGGTTGAGGACAGAAGGAAAAGGGGACGACAGAGGACGAGAGGGGTTGGACAGTGTTCTCGAAGCTACCAGCATGAGTTTGACCAAACTGTGGGAGGCAGTGGAAGACAGGAGTGCCTGGCGTGCTCTGGTCCATGGGGTCACGAAGAGTCGGACACGACTAAACAACTAAACAACAACAATAAAGTAGTTTAGATGCTCTCTGAAAGCTGGGTCAGCCTTAACCGCTGTAAATTATGACTGATGGACTTCAGTCCTTATAGAAGACAGGTGTCAGTTCAAGGACTCAACTCCCCCCCCCCTTTGGCAGTAGATAAGTAGAACAAAGAGAAAGGAGTCTCTTACCAGTTAGAAATTTTAATGATCACAGCGAGAGAATAAAGAATCCATTCCGAGGGATGAAGGTGCTCCCAATTAAGGGTTCAACCCACTTCCCCCCTAGTCACCCACGTCACTTCTGCGTCTTGCAACCTGATCTCGCAACCATTGTGCTTTCTGTACTGCCACCTTATCTGCTCTCCTTGACCTTGGGCTGAGCGGATGGATGCTTTCCAGCGAAAGTGAGTCTGTTAACTCTCTCTGTCCCAGTTCTTCTCCTCCTAGCTGTTCACCACCCAGTTCTTCCCAATTTCTGTCTTCTGAACTATGTCCCTTTGCAAACCACTGTTCCAAATCTATATTGTCCCACTGTCCCTGGGAAGATTCAGGATCCTGATCAGGAGCAGGGGGAGGGGGAGACTCCCACCATCCCTCATCAGTGCAGCCCTCCTCAGCACGGTCCCTGACAACAGGTGTGCTTCATCAGTTTATGCCAATAGTGAAATGTCACCGTTTATGGGACCTCCCATGGTGTGTCATAGAAAAAAGAAAGGTGTCCTTGCTGCTTGAGAGCCAGTGTGGTGTAGTGGTTAAGAGCGGTAGTCTCGTAATCTGGGGAACCGGGTTCGCGTCTCCGCTCCTCCACATGCAGCTGCTGGGTGACCTTGGGCCAGTCACACTTCTGTGAAGTCTCTCAGCCCCACTCACCTCACAGAGTGTTTGTTGTGGGGGAGGAAGGGAAAGGAGAATGTTAGCCGCTTTGAGATTCCTTAAAGGGAGTGAAAGGCGGGATATCAAATCCAAACTCTTCTTCTTCTTCTTCTTTTCCTCAGAAGTTCTTCCTCAGTGTGAAGTGGGGTGGGGAACATTTTGTGCTGTATAACACCCATGATCAGAAGGCATTATGACATTATGGAAACCAGCTTTGCAAGCAAGGCAATGATGTTCAAGGAATATGTTCAGCTTGTATTCCAATGTGAACGGACCTGTTCCTTACCTCCTTTTTCAATACACATTTTCACATGGATTTGTTTCTAAAATTCTGCACAATAACATGGAATGGGGTGTGTGGAACAAACTTTAAAATGTGCTACTGACATGGACTGGAAGTAGACTGGAGAAACAGTCAGATGGGTGGGGTATAAATTATTATTAGTAGTATTAGTATTATTACTTAATAAGTTATCAAGCTCCATTGCTTTATCCTTTCCTGATGGCATAGGGGGTAACAGAGAAGGCCATGTCCCCATATTTCTTCTTTCAGTGAAGACAACTTTCATGCAGGACAAAGACCCAACCCACAGTCCAACCATTTCTACTCAAGTTTTGAAGCTTGGGGAACTGGAACAGCTGGGGTTTTGTGGTACATTCTGATCCTTAGAAATGGCTGTTTTAATACTGTCACCAACTTTGAATAAAGTTCTGACCATCTGAGGTAAAACGTTGTTTGTGAGATCTTTCCATGCAGTCACTTTGCATCGGATTAGCAGCTCCACGGAGGCTGACTTGGTGTCTTTAGAAAACAGAAATGAATCAGTTCTTCTTCGTGATTGCACCAAGGAAGCAAACATTTGGGTTCCTATTGAAGAGAGTGACTAATACCCCAGAAATAGAACAACATCACCTTGGGAACAATCTATGACTGTTCTCTAGCTCATAAGAATTGCCTGGCACAGTTAAATGATTTGACGGTGAGAGCAGTAATCTAAGAGGGTTCTTTGAAAATACCTGGCACTGACGCACAGATATAATCCAGAAGAGAATTGTTTGTGTGAGGTCACTAATCTAATGTTGCTTTTCAAAATGATCATCATAGCATGCAAATGTCCAGAGTGAAACCTGTTTGATTTCGCTTCACTGAATTTATTCCTCTTTCTTTCTTTCTTTCTTTCTTTCTTTCTTTCTTTCTTGTGTTCTAGGCTTGCTGGCAGAGCCAAGGAAATTTGCTTGACGCAGAGGGCCAGCCCACACACCCACAGCCAAAATGGCCGAAGACGCTGACATGCGCAATGAGTTGGAAGAAATGCAGCAGCGTGCTGACCAGATGACCGATGAGGTGAGGGAAATGTGGCTGGAATGATAAGCAGGAAAAAAACCCACAGCTTCCTCATGCAGCCTGTTGTCTGCAGGCTAAGATCCTCACCCAGATAAATGTGGACTTTTTCTGTTGGTTCCTGCGTTCTCAGCTCCATCATTTTGATGTTCTGAACTCAGAAATGAGAAAGCTACTGCTACACCTTCCACCATCCCTAGCCATTGGCAGAGGCGGAGGAAGGGGGTGTGGTGGGTGCGGACCGCCCCAGGTGTCACCACTGAGGGGGTGACAAAATGCCAGGCGACACTCACCATGGGGCCTGCAGCATGCCCGAGACATGCATCTCTCCTGGGAGAGACGCTGTGGCTTGGGCGCACGCAGGCTCCGTGCTGCCCAAATTGTCCGCCCACTGCCTCCCCACCCCCAGCTGTAGGGCGGCTGAGTGGGAGGAGGCAGGCAGACTCTGGAGGCCCCATGGTGCGCCCTGCCCCTAGGGGCAGCTCGCCCCACCCCTGGGCGCGCCGCCCTAGGTGCCTGAGTGGCTTCCTCCACCGCTGGCCGTTGGCCATGCTGGCTGAGACTGATGGGAGCTAGAGTCCAAGAGCAAGCAGAGGGCCATAGCTTCCGCACCAACTAGAGAAGCAAGAGTTTGAACCCAGGGCCTTCTGCATGAAAAACCAGGTGCTCTACTAATGAGCTGTGACCCTTCTCATGAAAGAATGCAGAAGAGTAATTCCAGAGGGGTCAAAATATTGTCCAACGACAAGGCCTCTCCCAGATTCTGCTGTTGACTTTGTGAAGTCTTCATGTAGGAAGGAAGAACGCCTCTGGTGACTTAATTTTTTAAGTGTCTTTTGTTTGTTTAAAACATACCAGAAAGTGCAAATTGAGTCATTTTTCTGTGCCTTTCATTTATGCACCTCGGCAAGCAAAGAAGAACCTGTGGCCCTCTAGAAGTTGTTGGACTTCAGTTCCCATCAGCCCCAAACAGTATAGCCAGTGACCAGGGATGGTGGGAATTGTAGTCCACCAACATCTGGAGAACTACTGGTTGCTCTTCTCTGTTCTAGTCTTTACAACCAACAAACAAGCTAGGGCATTTAGCTAGGTACAGATCTAACAAGCTTCTTTGGGCAGCCTCTTTGAGCAGTATTTTGGGTGGGGGAAAGATGGCATAAATTATCTAAATAAGCAACCACACATGTACTGCTCATTGAAGGTGTATTGCTCCTTGTGGGATTTAGTCCATGATATGCCGCCATCACAAAGAACTTTAGAATGAAGCTTCTCCCCCATTGGTGATACATTTATCACCAATGCTTCTCCCAACTAACCTGCAAATTTTTGGTTGTAAGGTTCTCATGACTTCCTCTACTTAGAACCTGGACAAGAACCTTGTCCTTTTCACCTGAAGCAGCCATAGTCTGGTGTGGTATAGTTGGAAAACAATCAGAAGAGTTAGAGTGGTATAGTGTTAGACTAGGACTAGAGGGACCCAGATTCAAACCCCTGCTTCACGAAGCTCACTGGCTGGTTGTGGGCCAATCACTATCTCTTAGCCCAGCCTATGTCATGGGGTTGTTGGGGAAATAAAGTGAGAGGGGGAAGAGAACCATGTAAATAAATTAAAATAAGACAGATGTCATCATTTTTTTTATTTGATGTACTTATGCTCTGCATGTTTCTGAGCTGAAACTGTTTAGCAATTCTAACTCTCTTCCTCTGTCCCCCCCCCCCATTTCCTTCTCAGTCACTCGAAAGCACTCGTCGTATGTTGCAGCTTGTGGAAGAGGTAAGGAATCCATGGTTTAACTTCAGTGTTTTCTCGGGAATGCTGAATGGTTTGCAGGAGTTGACCCATCTCAAAGCCCATGATGTGCATGATGACGAAGGTCCCACTCATTGCCTCCTGGAGATTGTCCCATCTATGGAATGACCTCTCTAAACACAGTGGTTTGTTTTTATTTCAAAGCACTTCTACAGTTTTGGGTGAATGCACATGCTCATCCAGCATACATTAAGCCAGGTGGTGGTGCCTTCTCCATGCTCATTGTTAGGAACGTGCCTCCCCACCCACACCAGAGCACAGAGGAAGAGTCAGCCTCAGAAACTGAGCTAAGCGAGCAAGGGGCCAACTCTGCAGATGAGAGCTGGCTGTCAGAGTCTAGAAAGGGCAGCCCAGCCCCCCTCCTTCCCAGGGAAGATGCTGTTAGCTCACAAGGAGAGGGCGAGCTAGAAGGTGGCCAGAGCATTGCCAGGCAGCCAGCAGATAAGCCAGTGTCTGGTGCTGTGTATTCTGGGAGTGGGGAGGACGCGGGCTAGCCGTTCAGTCCCCGCACTAGGAGACTGGAGAAGCTCAGAGAACAACGGAAGAAAAGGAGAAGAAAGGTGGGATTTTGGTGTCCTTCCTGTTGGAGGAGGGACAATGATTCAGACTGATCAACTACTGTTAATGCAAGCAGGCGGGGGCTGTGCTCTGGATGTGTTTTTCTTGTAAATAAACATACATAAAACTGACAGAGTCATTGCTGCAATGCCACACAACGGAAAGCTTCCTGCAGCTGCTTTTTGGTGGTGCGGCAGAAGAATACATAATACCAGAAATGTTGTGTTACTGCTGTCCTGTTAAGATGGATAGAGCCAACAACTTTCAATTTGACATCAGTATGAATCCGTCAGATTGACAGGTATCAAAGTTGGCTTTCTCATTAATTCAGAGCTCTTTTTGTCCATGCTGTCACTTCTGGATGGAGGTGGTAGCTCTCATTGCACCCTCCCTTTGAAATGCTATGCTGTCCAGAATAAATGAAACCCAAACCTGCAAGTGCACTCCAGATTGTGCATAAAATAGGCTCCAGCACTACTGCTCATCAACTGATAGGCAGTAGAGCTGGATTTGGTGGTCACATACTGTGCCTGGGCTGGGCATGGTGTTTTGAAGTCCTGAGACTTCCAAACTCCTAATTGCTTGGCAACAAGGTGGGCATTCCTGCCCCGTCAAATTTGGCCCACAAGACTAGACCCTGGCCTGCATGGAGCCCAAAAGGTTCACGACCCCTGAGCTACTCTGCTCACCAGCAGCTCTCAGACAAGGATCATGCCCATCAGCTGCTTTCTGATCTTTCCTACGGGAGATGCCATTGACAGAGCCCAGATACCAGCTGAGTGCAAGCTATTTGCTCTAGTGCTGAGCCTCTCCCCTGTTGATGGTGATGTCTTGGCTGTGATCGTGCAGCAAATTTATAACAGGGCACTAGGGCAGAATGAAGGCCTTTTGCAAAGGGGAAGAAGGCAAGTTTCACATATAGGTGGGTGTCACCAAATCTGGAGCAGACATCCTTTCCTATTGAAACATTTGACCTCTGGGCCAAGTCTGGAGGAGAAAAACATGAAGGAAAAGGCCAGTTCTCATGATAAATCAGCTTGGCATTTAAGCATTCTGCTTTCAGAAAAGAACAGCTATCAAGGGAAATGTCATGAACTACTGGTGTTAGGGATGGGTTTAATTTTTGTGCTGTTCTATTTTTCATTTTTGCAGTGATAACAATTGGGAGGGTAGGGGAAGCATGTATGAAATCTTCTCCCAAAGATCAGCACTGTCCTAGCATAAAGCTGCAGTCCTGAGCACATTTACTTAAGAGAGTAAGCTCATTGGCCACTGGGAGGGCCATAGCTCAGGAGTCTGCATGCATCAACACTGAATGCAGAAGATGCCTGCTCCAAACCCTGGTGCCTCTAGGTGGGGCTGTTAGTATTCCCTGCCTGAAACCATGGAGAGCCACTTCCATTCAGTGTAGACAATACTGAGCTAGATTGAGTCATTAGTCTGATTAGCTTCAGACTTTAGATTAGCTTCAACCAGAGTCAGGGCCTTTTCAACACTGGCTCCGGCCTGGTGGAACGCTCTGTTTCATGAGACCAGGGCCCTGCAGGATCTGATTTCTTTCCGCAGGGCCTGTAAGACAGAGTTGTTCCACCTGGCCTTTGGCTTGGAGCCAATTTGATTCCCTCCCCCTCTTTCTTTTTCTTTTCTCCTCCTGCGATGAGGCTGCATTTTAATATTTTAATGTTTCAATATTTTAATGTTGCATTTTAATCTTGTTTTTAAGTTGTATTCATTCAACTTGTTTTTATTATTGCTTGTTAGCCGCCCTGAGCCTGGCCTTGGCTGTGGAGGGCGGGGTATAAATAAAAATTATTATTATTATTATTATTATTATTAGTGTAAGAAATCTTCCTATATGCCTAATTATAAGCGAATTAGTGCTGCACATCACCTTTTCCTCTGAAGTCATGACTCTCTTGAAACACACACACACACACACACACACACACACACACAAATGCACACATTATGGCAAAGATTTTTTCCCATGTTCGCATGCCCCAGTGGAAATGAAAAGGTTTCTTTATGATGGGGGAAGGTTCTCTAAAAAGGGGCTCCATTTTTTTGCAGGAGTCAAGAAATGAGCAGGAGTGGGTGGCATCTAGAGGGAGATGGTTGCCTTCCAAGTGATTACCTTTCCATATTTTAATGGGCCATTGGGCTACACCAGCCTTTAACCTGGTGCTCTTCAGATCTTTTGGACTACAACTCCAAAACATAGTAGTCCAAACCATATGGAGAGCACCTAGGTGGTTAAGGCTGGGCTACAGGATGGTGTCAACACACGCAAATGGTAAATAAGGAGTTCCTTGTACAGCTGGGAGGCGCAGGGCTGAGAAAATAAATTGTAACTCATGCCTAAGAAATGGTTCTGCAGCCATTCCTGTGTCCTTAGGCAACTGACACATCCTTTTAGTGTCTTCTAACTGTTGGGAATGTCAGGCTGTCCTAGTAGTTTAATGTCTCTCCTACCTCAATCAAAACAAGGTTGCTATCCCAGAGTAAATGAAATAAAATGTATTTAATTGCCTGCTTTTAGACTTTGTGCTCTGTTCCTTCAAGCAGACATGATATGTTCCCTTTCGATCTTGAGGAGTGCTTATGGGACATGATGACATACAAGTGTTTGGAGTCGTTTCTCACACACAATCTCTTGCTGCACAGCCCATTCTGTTCAGGAGGGTCTTTTCATATCCATGAGCAGGTGGGAACAAGGGATGGACAAGTCCTCTTCTACCATCCCCCATCCATGAGCTCTTCTTAGCAGGGCCGGCCCACCTATGAGGCAGAGGGAAGCAGCTGCCTTGGGCGGCCGAAGCTCCCAAGGTGGTACCCCTGTGGGTGCCCCACTGTCCCCCTGCCCCCACCTGTGGCAGAGAAGCAGTGCCACCATCAACACTGATTTCGGTGAGATCTTGCAAGACCTTGCCAGAACCTACAGTAGGTGCCGCCACTTTGCTTCTTAGGATTCAAGCCTTTCTCTTTGCTTAGACAACTTTTGACCCACCAAACTGAAACCATAACATCTCAGAGAATCTTCTCATAAATTTTCCGAGAGCTCCCCCCAGCCTCTCCACTTTTGGGGAAATTCTGCCTCCCTCAACAGAGACTGTTCAGTGAAATCCTCCACTCCCTATCCCTGTTTGACTCAGCATGGGTATTTGTGAGGGCCATTCTCCGTCAAACTATGTGTGGCATTCACTAACCAAGGTTCAGATTCTGTTTCCGGTTCTCACTCAAGCAGAGACTATTCTTTGTCTTGTCCACATTCCTGCCTCTGCCTTCCTTCACCTTAATCTTGATTTCTGGTTTTTTAATATTGTATTTATTTACCCTTATCGTGAAACGAGTGGCGCTGTGGTCTAAACCACTGAGCCTCTTGGGCTTGCCGGTTGGAAGGTCGGCAGTTCGAATCCACTTGACAGGGTGAGCTCCTGTTGCTCTGTCCCAGCTTCTGCCAAGCCAGCAGTTCGAAATCACACCAGTGCAAGTAGATAAATAGGTACCACTGAGGTGGGAAGGTAAATGGCATTTCCGTGCACTCTGGTTTCCGTCACGGTGTCCCATTGCACCAGAAGCATTTCAGTCATGCTGGCCACATGACCCAGAAAGCTGTCTGTGGACAAACGCTGGCTCCCTCGGCCTCAAAGCAAGATGAGCGCAGCAACCCCATAGTTGCCTTTGACTGGACTTAACTGTCCAGGGGTCCTTTACCTTTTTTTACCTGTAGAATATCACCCACTGACTCCATGACAAAATTGCTGATCGCATCTACAATAGCATCATTACATGAGTTATGAGTAATCAAAGATTTGATCCTGTGTTCCTACAGGTCAGACTAATTGAGTTCAATGGAAATTTGACTGGACTTAACTGTCCAGGGTCCTTTAACTTTAACTTTTTTTACCATATTTACCCTTAGTGACTAGCTTAACTTGGTGAGTGTGCTTATGCATCACAACTCTCTGTCCTTCACCCAGGCAAGCAAAAGGCGCTGCCAAAATTTAATAATACATTGCAGCCAGGCAAAAACACCCAGGGTGGAAAGCAGTGCCAATGAGGGGTGAGGTCTAGATAGACTGGGTGTGGCCTGGAGCAGAACCAGACAAAGAACCCTTGAAGGCCACATTCTGAAGTTCTCCATCCCTGCCTCACATGAACACCCTACCGGATAGTCATGCCCTGTAGGAGAAGGGAGACGATGTGATCTTATTCCCCCATCATTTGTAGGAGAGACTAGAGGAGAATATTGTCCAAATGAGGCCTAGGTCCACAAATACTATTAGTCCAAGGGTTGCACATCTTTGATATAAACCATTTCTTAGCTGTTTTGCCCACCTTGGTGTTAACAGTTCTGTTTCCATTGCATTTCAAGGGTGTCAGGATTTTTGGGGGAAGGAAGGGGATTAGAGCTGCCGCCATTTTGTTTTCTGTCCTGGGGTGCATTTTGAATTTTGGGAAGTTCAGAGTAGCTACCGCCATAAAATATGGCAGCCACTCTGAACTGGTCTTTGACCGTAATAAATTATTATTATTATTATTATTATTATTATTATTATTATTATTATTTTATGGCAGCCACTGGCAGAGGAAGAGGAGTGCAGGGGGAAGCACACTGCCCCTGGTAGTGCAATCCCAGTGGGGTGTCATCGCGGCTGCTCCCACACCCATGCTGGGCACCATGCCCCCACAGGTGGCATGCCACGCCCCCAGGATGTGTTCCACGCTCCCAGGACGCGCGGCATCCCTGCTCCCACCTGCTCTCCACCCCCCCAGTGCTGGAGCATGAAGCTCTGCCACTGATGGCAGCTACAGAAAAAGACAACCTTTGACAGAATGGGTGAATCATTCCTCCAACAGCTCATTTTATTGGAGAGGTGCAGTCTAGACAAAGGGCAGTGACTTGTTAAAAATCTAATATCAAACAGAGCTATTCCATGCAGCTCTTATTTTTAAAACCTGAGCTACCAGGGGAAACTCCCCTGTTTCTTTCCTTCTTTTTTAACAATGTCTTGCAATAAAGCTAAAGGTGATTTATTCAAAAGCAGACCCCAAGGTTTAAAAATGCTGCTTGGGGGCTAGAGATGCATTGAAGGTTAACAAAGTACACCTATGTATGTATGTATGTATGTGTAATCAGAAGTAAGAATAATTGAGTTCAATGGAAATTACTCCCAGACAAACATGCTGAAGAATGAGTGGGGAAAAAATGAAAAAACAAAGAGGGGAAATGGACCATTTCACCTTGAATTATGGGGTCCATTTCACAAATTTTAAATCACTGTTTCTCCCCAGCCCCAAAATTTGGTTCACACATCCAGTTTTTTTTAAGACGAGCCTCGCTTTTCCTTTTGCTCCTTCTCAAACTGTCAAGTATTGCAATGAATACTAATGCAGTAGAGAATCTTCCATGTATTTCATAGTGTTAATGGATGCAATTGAGGAATTAGATTCACTTAGCATTTAAAGCTGAATCTACCTGATTCACATCCCCCGAAAACAAGATGCAAACCGAAACACAGCAATCCCTCAAAATTCACATTTTTCTGAATTTTGTAATGGAGTTCTCCAGCAGAGCAATGTGTTCAAGTATGCATATGCCAAGGTAAAATGTGCATTAAAATGCATATATTAGTGACAATAGCATGCAGAAATGCATTATATTAGGGAAAATAGAAATATTGAAGAAAAAATGTCTATATTAGGCAAAATTGCATTTTAAAATCTGTATATTGGGATAAATTTTCACTAAAATGCTGGTGACTTCTTTTTTACAAACATTGCAAGCAAATGTGGAAATGTGGAGAAGTAAATTTAAGACTGGAAAAATGAGAAACTAAAAGAAAGCAACTGACAGCTTCATCATCTCTCATGTGATGGGTTCCTGTTGATTCCCTTATCCCCTGCCATTCCTTTCACTGTTGATCTTTGAGCTTCTAATTTTTTCCAGATCTAGGGCTGCTTGTTCTCCCACTAATTTCTTTCTTTCTCTATCTCTGTCTCTTCGTTTCATCCTCTTATTCTTGCTGGAATGTAGAGCAAAGATGCTGGTATCAGGACCTTGGTTATGTTGGATGAGCAAGGAGGTAAGTTCAGATCATTTACATAATAATAATAATAATAATAATAATTTTATTATTTGTGCCCCGCCCATCTGACTGGGTTACCCCAGGCAGCTTCCAACAAAGATAAGAAGTCAAAAGCATCTTTTCAATGAAGTGAATGATTAACTGTAGATATCTTTTAAAGGTATCAGTAACGCATGCATGTACGAACCTGGTTACCAGGGACCGAAAGTTGAAAACATCTTTTCCCAGCACCCATCGGAATCAACAGGAATTCCTGAACCCAACATTTCCAAAATAACCCCGCTGCTTTTTAGAGTGTGAGGTTCAAAGACTGTAGCTGTTCAATTTTGGCCATGCTTATCTACACAAAGGATCTGTAAGCCAAAGCTCTACAAGTCCGCAGTGTGCCTACAGAATTCTGCGGAACCTGAGGTTGCCCCATCATCTTCGATGTCAACAAACATAAGCCTTTGCACACATGGAACATGGACAACATTGAACAGAATGGGGCACATCCACCTTGCTGTTGGCTCACTAGAGCTCTCGCCAGAGTAGTTAAATCGAGGCAAGGGTGCTTAGTAGTTCATAATCAGTTTGACTGATGGAAGCTCCATTTCACTCCTAAGTACAGGTTACTTGGGGGATCAAATTCTCTAAACTCTGGGTGTAAGAAGTAATCTCGATACTCAATTCCTATTGAGCATTGAGACCTAAAGGGCAAAGCTGGATATCGAGAGCATGCAACCATATTGCAGAGGCAGGTGACAAGATTTTGAAAGTGATCACCGCACCAATTTCAATGTTATTTAACCAAATTTGTATCACTTTTTTTTAAAAGCGTTGTGCAGGTTGGATAAATGTGACTTGGGGAAAATGTGATTTGCCTTTGTGTGCAGCTGGAGCAGCTGTGTCTCTGCTGTCTTCGGGGACCCCTCCTGTCATTTGTGCCTTAGCAATGTATGCCTCGGCAGATGATCCGATTAATGAAACTGTTTGTTAACCTTGCCATGTGATCTTTTCCCAGATGACCCTGACAGCAGAAGTTACTTAGGATTGTTAGGTGTTATATAGAGGATTCTGATATGGATCATTGGAACGTGCAGATGACAAAGAGTATCACATTCCTTTGTGTGCCATACCCCTTTTCCCTGCCCGGTTTTCTTAAGGCACCTGTTTACTTTGATGCTGCGAGTGATTTGCAAGACAGAAGCCTCCTGAGTCAACTTCAGTGAAAGCACTATATAGGAGAACAAGGGTTTATTTCTGGTATAGAAAGCAAGTGCCTTTGAGGTCATCAGTGCAGTGATGTGACGTGCTGAGTGTGTAGCCCACATGGCAAATCACAAAGCACCTCCATGAAGCCTCTTGGTTCTCTTGCTGATATCTTGAGAAATTCAGTTGCGTGTGAAGACTCCCAAAACCACCCCCAAAATAAAGACACAGTAGACACAGATTTTAGTTTAAGGTTTTTGGTATTAATTTTGGCCACAGCTTTATTGATTACAGCATGTGAGTGGTTGCTTAGGCATTGGTTGCAGACTACATGAACCTGCACAGTGGCAGGAACAGGACTGACACTGGGCACCACCATCTGTCAGTAAGAGAAAGGGGAGTAAGAAGCTGACTTCCATCTCACAGCTCACCCCAGATGTTTCCAGGGGCTCTGGTGTGGCCCTAGCCCCTGGACAGGGTTCGGACAAAAGCAAGGAGAGCCTCTGGATTCCTTTAGCAGAATTCCCTAGCAGCAGTGATGGAAGGGCAGGCACAGCCAACCACTTCCCCTCCACAAAACATTGAACCAATGCCTAACTGCCAACCTTACAAAGTTGTGACCACTTGCTACACAGTAGGCAAAAACCAAATGGCAACAGCCAATCAGCCAAAGGGCAAAATTCCTACAGGGCCCCTGCTCCAAAACAGATGACCCCTAGACAGGCATAGCAAGGCCAAAGGACAGCCCTAAATATAGGGTAGGATAGCCCTCGGTAGCCAATAGACGACCCAACAGGCCAAAGTTCTGCCCCAGCAACTGAGGGGCAACCAATGGGGTGTTGTGGCTATCCAAATGGTCCCGCCCCACAACAGGGAGGCAGTTTAGGTGATCTCACCACAACATGTGCCCTCCATGATGGAGGACACGATCCGACATTAGAAGAGTTATTAAGCACATTTAAAGGGTGTGTTTTCGTGAGACGTTTTGGCATGTCCCATGTATCTAATTCTCCTCCAGGTGGAAAAAAAATCCAGTTTCAGTTCTATATGCTTTGGTTTCCTATCAATGGTTAGTAAAACCAAGCCCAAAATGATAAGACTACACTAGTGGCCAAAATTGTGGAAACCTTTTGGGAAAAGTGTAATTATGAGGTTTGATGGCTCTTAACACCATTTTCTTTTAGAGTAATAGCATAAAATTATATATCAATGGAAAGATAATTTATTGAAGAATGTAATGCAACAAAGTTTGTTCAATTATCTGTATTCTATTAAAAGTTATAGCCAAATAACCAGAAAAAGAAGCACAGCTTGCTTAGGTTGATATGTAGTAGCTTTCCTTCATGTGAATGTAGCCAATGAGCATGAGTATTTAAGAGAGCCAATCAGGTATTATGAGCCATCAAACCTCGGAAATACACTTTTCCCAAAAGGTTTCCACAATTTTGGCCACTAGTGTAGCTGTGCTAGAGAGAGCATAATATGCAGTGCTGTCCTAAACACATTTACTCAGAAGTAAGTCCCACTAATCAATAGATTTTACCCCGTAAAAAGTGTGCTCAGTACTGCAGCCATAGGTTTCATTCCAAAAACATATAATTCAGTCACTGTGGCTGTGTTACATTGAGATATATTAGGGGTCAAAACTGGATTAAGTCCAAGCGCTTTGGGTTAATTAGAGTTTACTAGGTCTTAATTTGCAGCAGGTCTTGGTTTTGCTGAATTCTGGGACACACTTTCAGTCCTAGGCTCATCCCCACAACATGCAAAGTAAACAACAAAAGGCCTCTGAGCATGTACAGAGAGCTTAGTCTTCATAATTGAATAATGTTAAAGTGTGCATGCAGCAAGTGATTAAGGACATGGAAGTCATGTGGGAGAGCCTGGTTTCCAGGCATGCATGAGCCACTGCACCTTTCTGTGCGGCAAAATTAATTGTCTGTTGCATCAGGCATTCGTCCTGCGCATTCTCTCTACTCCTGGCAATTGTCCCTTAGCCGGCTGCTCAAGTCTTGAAATAGAAACAGGCAGCTGCTGCTTCTACTCCAAAGCCACCTGAACATTGCCCTACACTGAGGTCATCCTCCTGCGGCTAACTAAGCTGGCTTCCTGGAAGATTTGCACGGGCAGAGCAATGTAAAGCTGCCCTCGTGGCAAGCAAACTCTGCCCTGATGTACCTGACTCTTCCTCTCTTGCTATCTCATCCATTCCACAACAAGCTCTCAAACCAGGACCCTGAAACTTCAATTTGATTTTACTCATTATGTTTCTATGCTGCTTTTCATTCATGTGAATCGCAAAGCGACTTGCAAGCAAGCAATAACTGTAACAGAACAGAACATCGGAAAGGCAATGTAAATCATATAGAACGTTTGACAAATCGTCAGTAAAACAATTGCAATCTGTCCCAATTACGCTGTTGGCAAAACAGCTTAAAAAATAAGCTAAACAGCACAATTACAACAAAATTCTTATTACAGTCATACCTTGGAAGTTGAACAGAATCCATTATGGAAGACCATTCGACTTCCAAAACGTTCAGAAACTAAAGCGCGGCTTCTGATTGGCTGCAGGAAGCTCCTGCAGCCAATCGGAAGCCATCGAAGCCCCATCGGACGTTGGGCTTCTAAAAGAACATTCAAAAACCAGAACACTCACTTCTGGGTGTCGATCGTTCAGGAGCCGATTTGTTTGTGAGCCAAGGCATTTGAGATCCAAGGTACGACAGGATAGGATTCACAAAGTACAATTGTCCCCTGTCTCACAAACCAGTCTACCAGTGCTCGTTGTACAGAGGAAGACCTTGTAAAAGCTCAAGGGCCTTGATTTCCTCCGCTATGAACATGGATTGAATTTTCTCTTTATGTTCTCATGTCTTCCTCTGTTCCGTGGATAGTTAAGGCCTCCAGAAGCTGTTGGACTCAAACTCCCATAATCACTAACAACTGGCTATGTGGTTTGGGGCTAATATGAGCTGTGCATCCTAGTTCCAGCAGTAGACACCATGGTGCCCTGCAGAGTACCACTCCCATCAACCCCAGCCAGTACGGCCAATGATCAGGAGTGATGGCAGTTGTTATCCAGAACATATGGGGATCACCGCATGAGCTACCCCTGTCCTAGTTTATGTAGTCTAGACCAGCAGGTACTCTGCATGCATAAGACCCTATGTTCAATCTTGCTTAGGAATAAGGGAGGAATTTGGTTCCGTAAGGCTATTGATGCAAATCTATCCAATTAATGCTTTCCGAAACAGTATGCAAACCATTCTTTTCTCTCTCTCTTCTCTTTAACTTCAGGAACCAGCCTTGTATTTGTTGTTTGTGAATCGATTTCTTCTTTTCTTCTACTAATCTGTCAAAACATGCATCTATATTTTCGTTCCAATGCAGAAAATGAGAATAGAACTTGCTTCAGGATTCTAATATTTCATTTCTTTTCCCTGAGTAGCTGCTATGATTTTTCCTCCTTGGATTAAAATGTTTCTTTCCTATAACTGGCTACCACACTATGTTTGAAAGCTGGGCTCTGAATCAGATTGTTCTCTTAAAGAGAACCAACTTGGGACGGGCCAGTAAAGTGACTTGGTCTACACTGGTGTTGAAACAATTGACTAAGAGGGTGGTGTCTGACCAAGTTTTACTCAGTAGACCCATTGAGATTCATGACCATGACTAAGTTAGGGCCGTTTATTTCAATAGGTCTTCTTTGAGTGAAACAGTTGAATACCACCTATTGTCAGTAAGGTGGCAACTCTACCCATGCTTAGATTGTGCTGCATGGTTGCTTCTGCAATCTCAGCACATATCATTACATTGGGGTGGTTTATTTTTGCTTCTATAGATATAATAGTGGCATGGAACCACTGTCTCCCACTTGAGAAAATGGGGGGTGCAATTTGTGCTACCCTAAGTAAGCACCAGGCTGTAGGTGTTCATGAAAGTCATTTATTGTTTGCATGTGAACCCACTGTGATGGGCCGGATAGTTATATTAAACTGTTATGATGAAAAAACAGGTGTAACTCCATTGAAGTAAAAGGAATTACATTGGCCTAATCATGTCCTGGAAGTCATGGCAAAGTGAGGTAAGCAGCAAGAATAGGGAATTATGCTAGTCAAAAACAGGAAAATGCAACAGTATGTATCCTTACGTAGTCCATCTGCTCTGAAGCTACTTTGGAGCAAATAGAAGTCCTCTCATCCGCTTCTCTGGGCATCAAACTAGGTCTGCCGATTCTTGTAGTTCCTCCTACTGCAGTGGGGTTACTCCTGAAGTATAACAATGTCACGGACAGAGGAATAAGACCCATGGTCTTCTCTTCTTTAGAGATGGACCACGACCAAAAAATCAGATCTGAAGAGCCTCAGTCTTTGAAAAAGTTTGTATCTAGACATGGATCTTAACTCAACTCCTCATATCCATTCTTAATACCATTATTAACTGTCTACTTTCCCACCAACTCTCAAGTCAAACCAATTACATTTTCAACCACCATCAAACTCATAAGTGGAAGTAGATATTTTCCATGGAAGGCCACCATTTAAATTGTGTTGGAGTTTATTTATGTACATACATACAAGGTAATAACCCCATTTCTTTCTTTCTCTTGGATGCCATTGATGTCTTAGTATCTGGATGTATAGTATTATGTTTCTGGATACTGAGGTATTTGGTAGCACCTCCACGTTTACATTTTGTTCAAATGACTAGATCTCATTTTATTTTTTTATTTTCATTGTATGTGAATGTGCGTGTGCTTTACCATATTAGCAAAGGGCGTCACTCTTCAGCCTCTAGGTTTGCTTCCATCTTTGCTTCAATGCATCATTTGCAATTAATGCATTGAAATGCCCCCATCGTGATTCAGTTTCTCCATCCATCATATTTGTTCCTGTTCTGTTGAAGACAAACAGCTGCAACCGCGAAACGAAACAAAAGTACAATTCATTCCATACTGTCATCCCTTTGTCCTGACCAGAGCAACTTGATCGAGTCGAAGAGGGCATGAACCATATCAACCAAGACATGAAGGAGGCCGAGAAAAATTTAAAAGATTTAGGGAAATGCTGTGGCCTTTTCATATGTCCTTGTAACAAGTAGGTACTGGGTACCAGCTCTGCTCTGTAATGTCCAGTTCTTTGTCATGAGTGAATGTCTGAAGTTTTCTTTTCTTTTTTGTCTTTTTTTCTTTTCTTTGTCCCTTTCCATCTGCTTCATACTGTGGGGATAAAATACTTGTGTTTAATCAGAACAACTGGAGCGCATCGAAGAGGGAATGGACCAAATCAATAAGGACATGAAAGAAGCAGAAAAGAATTTGACGGACCTAGGAAAATTCTGTGGTCTTTGTGCCTGTCCATGCAACAAGTAGGTGTTGCCTGCCTGCCTGCCTGCCTGCCTGAAATCTTGAGCACCCAAGGCTGATCGCAAGCTAGCAAGCCTTGTGATGCTCATCCTTGCTTAAGGCACCTGGGCAGGATGAGCATGTGGCATGCAGAGAGAACAATTCTGGTTCCAATGCGTTCATCTCATAGCGTAGACCAGAGGTTCCCAAATTTTAGGGACCGACAAACCACTCTTGCCCTGCTTTTATGAAAATAAAAAGTAAAACCCTCCCAGGTTCCGCCTCTTCTCCCCACTGTCAGCATCCAAATTCCCAAGTGGTATGGATCCAACCATTTATTCCCAAAAGCAGTTACCTGGAAACTTGAATGTTGACACGGGGGGTTTGTGGCTTCACATCAGTCCCAGTGGAGAAGAAGTGGCAGATTGCCCTTCACCTCCATGGATGAGCACTGGTGTGACATGGGAACTAGACGAGGTCAGGATCATGGTGGCTTCGTTAGCTATTTGAGAGCCACTTGCCATCATCTCAGAGTTCACGAGTGGCTTATGGGTTTAATGTTTGGGAATCTTTGGCGAAACAGTGAGATCACCGTAGCTGCATTTAAAATCAGGCATACCACACTGAAACCTTCACTGTGGACACTTTTAAATGATGAAGATTTCAACATTTTACAGAGTGTGTACTATGTCGTAATAACCTAAGCTTCAAAAATTATGGCGCTATCTCAGAATACTGACTTTTCTCTCTCGTTCTCAAGCTTTAAAGGGAATGCTTTCTTGACCATGAGCTGTGCTCCAAAATTGCATAAAATGACCATTTGGAGCCAAAAACAATACCAACATCCTATTTAATCAGATAATCTCTCTTTGCGAGGTCTGGAGACGTGCCGTAGTTTCTTGTCTGATCCCAAGAAATGGGGAGTTTTTAAATTTATTTATATATATTGGCAGGAAAACTAGACCCATTTTGCTAATTGTCGTTCCCCAATTGGGTAGTGTACACCAAGCAGAAATGTTGAAATGTGTTGGGTTTGCTTGCATGTTATTGTCACAAAATGAAAATGCAGCATTAAAAAATGTGATGTCTGGACTTTGGAGGGAGGCAGTAGACATGAAAGAACAGGCTTTCTGATGGATAGCAGACTTAGTATGCACTGACACTGCATGAAGGAATTACTAAAAATACATTAATAAGTAGGCCGCCCCAAATGGTGTGTATGTCAGCGAGTGACTGTGTTCAAGTGTGTTTGTAATCTTCTGTTTCAGCATTTCATTAGTCCAGCTTTACAGTAGGGTATTCGCCTACTCACCTGGGGTGAATAATAATTCCTCTGGGTGAATAAATTGCCAAACATTTCTGAGAAGGTATGTTTCTTGTTCTGATGTGCAAGGCTGGATCAGTCCTTCAAAGCAAGCAGCAAAAACCAGCCAGAGCCCTTGCAGAACTTAAAGAGAATATTGAAACAGGAGATGCCAAAATCTGCAATGGCAGTAAAAAGTTTGGATGGCTGAACTTTATGCTGGCTACCCTTTTGCACAGATAAGAGAGTCAACCAGTGGGTAAAGTGTGTGTGTGTGTGTGTGTGTGTGTGTGTATTGAGAGGGGGAAGAGTCTATTGTCCTAAGTAGACCTGACAATCTAAAGGAAATTCTAAGCTCGTGTCAATTACTGTGCTAAAAAAAGGCACCTGAACTATCAAAATCCAACTAGCATTCAGTCTGGTAGGACTGTTTGTTTACCTGTTCAATCATGCATATACCAAAAGAGTCTCAAAGAGATTTAACAAGACAAAACCCAAACAGATAAAATCAAGTCAAAGCCAAAAAGATAGCATACAACACAAAATTTCTGGATTGCTTATCAAGCAACTTCTTCTAACAATCCCTGCTAGTATGCAGCCTGTTCATCTGTATGGTTATTAAGAAGCACACCCTAATGAGTTTTATGGGCCTTACTACCAAATATCCCTAGGATTTCAGCTGGACTGCACAACCCTAACTATATTTATTCAGAAGTAAGGCCTCTTGATTTTAATGTAACTTACTTCTAATTTAACAATGCAGTCCTATGCATGTCTACTCATAAAGAAGACCCACTGAGTTCAATGGGATTAATTCCTGTGTTGACATTGAGGGCAATGAAACTAACACCTGGGTCAGCAAGTATATGTTTGTGCTATTAAATCCAATGGTGGTTTATAGAACTACAGTCAAACCTTGGTTGTCAAACGTAATCTGTTCTGGATTAGACTTCTGAAACATTCGACAACTGAAAGTGGAAGCCTCAATACAATAGGGAAACTCAAAACAGAAGCCATGTAGCCCGTTCGGCTTCTGAAAATCGTTCAAAAACCGGAGCAGTTACTTCCTGGTTTTCGGCCAAAACGTTAAAAAACGGAGCCCTTCGAGAACCGAGGTTTGACTGTAGTAAGGATTCTTCATTTAGCCCACTCAGTCCCCAAAAGTACCCAACTGAAACATCTTTCTTCATGCAATTTATAAAATACAGCACTCATTAAAAGTATTGTTGATTAGCACATTGTTTGAAATCTATGGCCAAATGGAAAACATTGAACAGTGTTCAGATCATACGTGCCACTATTATGAAGTAGCAATATTGGACATTACTTACTAACGGCACTCCAAATTTTCATCTTCTCCTTTCTTCCCTCAGATAGGGGAGCTTCATATTTAAAACACAGACTTGTACATACCTCATTAATAAAAGTAATTGCTGTCTTTGGTTTAAACCCCCAAGAGAGACTTCCTGAAAGGGAGATAATTCTGACAATGAGCTTCCATCACGTCCAATTTGTAATCTCGGATAGCTTTTGTTCTGAAACAACCCAAACGAATGCTGCGCATGCTAATATTATCTGTCGCCTCCTGGTATGCCTGGATTTTAACTTCTCCGTGGCGACTCAGTCAAAGATGGCTCCTCGGTTGCCCTGTGCAATTGAATTCACAACGTGGCTCTCCAAGACTTGGCTTTCCAGGGCTGAAGGTTTTAAGATTTGCAGCATAGCTGAAGATCCATTTTTGCCTGTGTCCCACTCGCTGCGTAGGCTGTTACTGCTAGTGCATTAAGAGAATGTTTGAACCACTGGGGTTAGCTGTGCTTTACGGAGAATGCTTCACTTTCTTATTCATGCCTGTAGCTGGTGCATGAAAAAAAATTATATCTAGAAGAATTTCCCTTTCTGATGCTCAACTGCTACACATGCTTGTATTATAGTTATTTATCTGTTTCTTCATTTTTCCCGCACTCATCCCACTATGGCCTAATTTTACTTTTTGTCTCTGTGGACAAAGGTTTGTACATCAACTCTGGATGTATATTCTTTCCAAGTACCGATATATTATTAAAATATCTAATCTAAATTGCCATATATGACCCCAGAAGGTAAACAAGCCAAGATTGATTTCACTGGAAATCACTGAAAAGTTTGGCGGATACAGAGGTTTATTGTGCCACACATAAAAAAGCAAGTTGGCCATGGTTTTGTGTTCAAAAGAGACCAGATCTGTGTGTCTTTTAATCTTAATCTGTCGCTATGATGTACACACTACCCTCTGTGGTTTCTGTCTTCATGTCTGTATGGCCGTATGTTCTCTGTGTCATATGTCCAAATATCCCATGTGTCATGAAATACAGGTTTTCTAGTTGTGTTTCATTTTAAAAAAAAAATTAAAACAAAACAACAACAAAAACGCAAGCCCAAATTCTTGCTGACTTGGCAATCGCAGGCGACTTGATTGGAAATGAAATTTCTAAACATTGCAGTCATTGTGGCAGCAAAACGATGAAAATGAAATCAACCCTTTTGTTCAGTTGTATGATATATCGGTATACCAGACTGTCCCGTCCCACCCCCTTGTATGAAACGCTCATTTGCTTGACTCGGCTCTTAGCTTGAAAAAATAACAATTGTCACATTTCTTGCAGTTGCTTCCGCCCTGTTTCTGCTTCGTTACTCACCGTCTCTTTTTGCATAGGCTTAAATCGAGTGATGCTTATAAAAAAGCCTGGGGGAATAATCAAGATGGGGTTGTAGCTAGCCAGCCGGCACGCGTTGTGGATGAGCGAGAACAGATGGCTATCAGCGGTGGATTTATCCGCAGGTGAGGCTTGTTCTGGGAATCTTATTTTTACCCATTCTTACCCCTCTTTCTTTCCTGTAACTGGCACTTTCAGACCATATGGTCCTACGGAGAGGGTTTGTGGTGATGCTGTTGTTTATTCTCCAAGTTGACAACATCCAAGTCAAATGAGTCCGAGTCTTTTGTAAATTTCCACTGACATCCTATGTCCTATGTGGGAGGGGTTCTGAAAAAACTTCAGATTGGCCCGCAGGTTGGGGGACTTGTAAAAGGGTAAAAGAGTACAGTGGTACCTCGGGTTACATATGCTTCAGGTTACAGACTCCACTAACCCAGAAATAGTACCTCGGGTTAAGAACTTTGCTTCCGGATGAGAACAGAAATCGTGTGATGGCGGTGCCGCGCCAGCGGGAAGCCCCATTAACTAAAGTGGTGCTTCAGGTTAAGAACAGTTTCAGGTTAAGAACAGACCTCTGGAACGAATTAAGTACGTAACCAGAGGTACCACTGTACTGTACTAAAAGAGTACAGTGGAACTTGGGTTACGTACCGTCATCCTTACGAATGCTTCGGGTAACGTGGCAAATTACTATGTCAGTCTTTTAAGGATGTATATACCACACTTTAGGATAAAATCTTTCCTGCGTGGCTTAGAAATGAGCACCTGTTTCATGACTTTCTGACAGTAAGAAGCGATCAAGTGCATTGCTCTGAACAGGCAAAGAAGTCTAGCAGTTTGGGATGAATATGTAGCTTTATGATACAGTTCAGATCACCTTTACTCCTTACTACTTGACAGGGTAACAAATGATGCCCGAGAAGGTGAGATGGATGAAAATCTGGAACAGGTCAGTGGCATCATTGGAAATCTCCGTCACATGGCCCTGGATATGGGCAATGAGATTGACACACAGAACCGCCAAATTGACAGGATCATGGAGAAGGTAAGGGCTGACCTGCTGTTCGTACCCTATATTCCTTGTTCTGAGCATGATAATAAGTTTTTCTTTTCTGGATCAAAATGTTGGGATAAAAACTAAGAGTGTGTTTAATTTCCCCTCCAGTTTGTGGGGTTGTAGGGATGCAGGTGGCACTGTGGTCTAAACCACAGAGCCTAGGGCTTGCCGATCAGAAGGTCGGCGGTTCAAATCCCCGTGACGGGGTGAGCTCCTGTTGTTCGGTCCCAGCTCCTGCCCACCTAGCAGTTCAAAAGCACGTCAAAGTGCAAGTAGATAAATAGGTACCACTCTGGCGGGAAGGTAAACAGCGTTTCCGTGCGCTGCTCTGGTTTCGCCAGAAGCGGCTTAGTCATGCTGGCCACATGACCTGGAAGCTGTCTACGGAGAAACGCCTATAGAGTGGGATGAGCACGCAACCCCAGAGTCATCCGCAACTGGACCTAATGGTCAGGGGTACCTTTACCTTTTGGGGCAAAGCATTTAGCTTCTATGCTAAAGTGATGGGTGCAGGGACTTCCTTTTTAGCAGTATATAAAGGCTTCAAGGTATAAGCCTCATGGCATTTGCATGAAATTTGTTTCTGGTCTAGATAGATACCTCTAGGCCAGCCTTTCTCAACCTTAAATTCCCAGATCATAGAACTGTAGACTTGAAAGGGACACTGAGGTCATCTAGTTCAGCCTCCTACAAGACAGGAATCTCAACTAAAACATCCATGACAAATGGCCATCCAACATCTGCTTTGAAACTTCCAATAAAGGAGAGTTCCCAACCTTCCCGAAGTCTTTGGTTGCCTCAAAAGATAATTCCTCCATAATGCTTATAGGACTAGGTATCAAAAGATAAAATCAGAAAAAAATAGACAGGTATCTCACCATGCACAAAAGAAAGGAATGTAAGATTGAGACTGCCACAAATGCACACCTTCAGGGAATGAAATCTGCAGCTAGGTAATTTTCTTTATCCAGTAACTGAATGTAGTGACAGATCCTCACCGGACTCGAGAATAAGTATAGCAACGTTAGCTTTTCAATGCCCAGTTGTGTACCATTTGTTAAGGGAACTGGAATGGCCCCTTTCAATCCAAATATAAAATGCATCATGCTTTATCCTGAAGTTCTGGAACTCCTCGTCACTGCAAAAGACCTTTTTACACTTGGACACAGTAGCTATCAATAGGTGGAAAGCTCAACTCATCCGAATGTGAATTTGACTTTATTGTCTACTCTGCATGTATCTAGAATCAAAGAATCGCAGAATCATAGCATTGTAGAGTTGGTCATCTAGTCCAAACCCCTGCAATGCAGGAATCTCAGGTAAAGCATCCATGACTGATCCAACCTCTGCTTAAAAACCTCCAAGGAAGGAGAGTCCACTACCTTCTGAGGGAGCCTGTTCCCCTGTCAAACAGCATCTTACTGCCAGAAAGTTCTTCCTGGTGTTTAGTCGGAATCTCCGTTCTTGTAACTTGAAGCAGAGCAGGAGAAAACAAGCTTGCTCCATCTTCCATGCGACAGCCCTTGAGATATTTCAAGATGGCTATCACATCTCCTCTCAATCTCCTCTGTACTAGGCTAAACAAACTCCGCTCCCTCAACAGTTCCTCACAAGGGTTCGTTTCCAGACCCTCTCTCATCTTGATTCCCAGATGTTCTCAAACCATAACTCCCATGACACTAGCTAGGATTTATTTATTTATTTATATTTATACCCCGCCCTCCCTGGCCAACACCAGGCTCAGGGTGGCTAACATCAGGTATAAAAACAATTGATTAAAATACAACTTAAAAACAAGATGAAAATACTACTTAAAACGCAGCCTCATTTCAGTGGAAGCCCAGATCAAAAACTGTTTGGGGGGAGAAAATGTCAAATCTTCACCGAGGCCAACTATCCAGACTGGTCCTACATGGGCCAGAAAAGCCAGGGAAGTCCCCAAATAGGGGTTCCATCACAGAAGGAAAAGGAAAAGAATGATAGTTGTAGCCCAACAATTTCTCGGAACCCAAGGTTGAGAAAGGCTGCTCTAAGCAAATAAAGATGGTGGTTGGCTCGTTTCTCGCCAGCACTGAACTTTTAGTGAACCCAGCTGCGCTCTAAGCAACCTGGGTCATCCCCTGGTAGACTGGACTTGAATATTACTCAGGATAAACTTCAGCCAACTCAGTTGCACCTATTCCACAATTACATCTCTCTCTCTCTCTCTTTCTCCCATCTAGGCTGTTTCCAACAAAACCAGGATTGATGAGGCCAATCAACGTGCAACAAAAATGCTGGGCAGCGGTTAGATGTGCCCCTGTGCTGAATCTCCTTCTAAACACTGTCCGCAAGGGCAGCACTTTCATGCTTTTTTCTCATGGTATTTACCAACTAGGTTTGCACACATGCACATATCAAAAAAACGCCCACACAACAACCACCACCCCACCCCTCTCTTTCTGCTCTCCCAGCCCAGCCCATATCCCAGTTGTAAATGTTGTCCTGTGTAGGTTGTCGGCTTTCCAAAAATGATACTTGTAAATTATTATCTTCCAGATCTCTTCCTTTCCAAAGGTTGTATATAGTACTGATTTGATGGCTATAGCTCATGACAACGTTCGATATATTTGTTGGATTTCTATTGCCCCCTCCCTCCCCCCTCCCTCTCCCCGCATTTCTTTCTGTCTGTCTGTTTTTGGTTGGTGAGGTTTTTTTAAACAACAACAACAACTTTATGATGTTTTTTGCTGAATGACAAACAAATGTAGGAATGCTCAACGTGCTGTTAAACTTTTAACTATACAGTATTGTTCTTGTAAAACTGTTAACATTCCACAGAGCCACCCGCAAGAGTATTTTCTTTGGGTGTCATGTCGTTTAAGCACTTAAGAATTTGGTGTTTTTCTCTCTTTCTTTCTCTTTCTCGGTTCTCCATTGCTCTCTCCATTGGTCGTTATGAGTTCATTGATTAGACAGTGTGGAATTCTATAAGTTATAACAAGCATTGCACTAAAAGAAATAATACTAATAAATAAAAAGTGACGTGATTTTATGCATTTATTGCATGAGAAATAGACTTTTAGACTCCTTAACTTAAGTGAGACTTTTCCATGGCAGTAGCAACATCGACAACAACAAAAAGAAAACAATTAAAATTAGCATGCTCCGTATTGGGACACTGTCAGGACTATGTTATAATACCAGCAAGTTTGCAGTAGTGCCATTTATTTCTTCTTGTCAATATATATATTATATTATATTATATTATATTATAAATATAAATATAAATATATATAGTTATGAGCCATGTTCATTTCTTTTCTTTTCTCTTTTTCTTTTTCCCCCTTACTTTTAATTTCAAAAAGAGATGGATTTGGCACTCATTTAACCATTGCCAGCAAATTAAATGTTTGGCTGATACTATTGTCAAGGACAAAAAAAAATATTTAAAAATGAAGAAAAAAGCATCAACAAATAAGAAATAGGTGTAATATATATAGTTTGTCTGCTGCTTTCAAAGACTGTCTTTTTTCGGGGGGGGGAGGGAATGGCTATCATATGAAATGTTGCAGAGAAATGTAATTTTTATAAGGCTCTCTCTATCTTTCTAGCTCCTCTCTCTCTCCTCTCTCTCTCTCTCTTTCCATTTCTCTTCCCCCTCCCCCAATGTGGTTTGTTATTAGTAGAGTTCTCTGTTTGCTTACCTAGAGCTATGCACACCAAAATCACTGCGATGTTTAGTAGCTGTTATTAATTAAAAAACAAAAAACAAAAAATAACCTACATGAATGAAAATCTAGATAAAACTGTGAGATTAAATATAGTTGCCGCATGTACTATGAAATTCCTTCTGTCTCCTGTCAGTTTGTGACGTGATTGACATTTTGTAGCTAGTTTAAAAATATTAAAAACTATAGACCCTCCGAAGGCTTTTTTCTTAATCTGTTTTTTGTTGGCTCTTTGCTGCTCATACCTTGTTATTCCCCACCCATCAGGAAAGAAAGGGATTCTGAGCCAATCAGCTGGCCCAGGTGATTCTGAGCAAGCAGCCTGCCTCCTGAAACGCAATGGAAATTTTGTGTTTGAGGCGAGCAGCGAAAATAGCCCTGCCCTGCAGATCTGTGGCGTCCCTGCAGCCCTAGGATATTTCAGTTCTCCCTCTTGTGAGGGTAGAAAGAGAGAGGGAGATGCTGCCACCCTGGGCTCCTCGCCACCTCCATGGAATCTCCCCTAGAGTGCGCCAGGAGATGTCTTGCCAAATGCAAGGTGCTTATTTTAAAATGAGATTCAGAAGCAATACAAAACACAAGTGAGTGAGAAGATTAAATATTTCCTTCTAAACGGCAAGCAATATGTACATACCAAGCAAGTGCTTCATTCTGCCACTGGGAAGCCCTCAAGAAGCGGTAAAGTGACTCAGTTGGCACAGCCCCATGACCAATTGATCTGTGCATGAGCTTCTCCTTAACTCTGCCCAAAACCATCCAATTTAGACATAGCTAGCCTGTGTAGCTTGCCCGACTGGCTACATGCAAATCATTCATTACTGGCTATGTGCAGATTATTCATTGGTGGCTATGTGCAGATTATTCATGAATGACTATGTGCAGATTGGGACGCGGGTGGTGCTGTGGGTTAAACCACAGAGCCTAGGGCTTGCTGATCAGAAGGTCAGCAGTTCGAATCCCTGCGACGGGGTGAGCTCCCGTTGCTCGGTCCCTGCTCCTGCCAACCTAGCAGTTCGAAAGCACGTCAAAGTGTAAGTAGATAAGTAGGTACCACTCTGGCGGGAAGGTAAATGGCGTTTCCGTGTGCTGCTCTGGTTTGCCAGAAGTGGCTTAGTCATGCTGGCCACATGACCCGGAAGCTGTACGCCGGCTCCGTCGGCCAATAAAACGAGATGAGCACCGCAACTCCAGAGTCAGCCACGACTTGACCTAATGGTCAGGGGTACCTTTACCTTTATGTGTAGATCATTCATTACTGGCTACATGCAAATCATTCATTACTGGCTACGTGCAGATCATTCATTAGTGGCTATGTGCAGATTATCCATTAGCGGCTATGTGCAGAATTATTCATTAGCCACCCCCTCCCAATGCCTCACTTTCTCAAAACAATGTCCAACATCAAAGAAGTTACCTAGCACTATCACTTCCTCCCAATTGATTAGGACATTAAAGGCTTTTCTCGTGACATCAAAGAACTTAGCAAGTGATAAGAAGGGGGAAGGAACAGAGGCAGGAAGGGTAACCATGTCAGATCACTAACTCCTCGAAAGACAATTTATCTTTTGGATAGATTGTCCATACAACTCGGTGAAGACATGGATCCAAAACAAGCAAAACGCACTGTTGCAAAAGTTGGATGCCAACTCTCCAATCTCTGCCAAACTGTGGCAAGTTTCTAGGGGGTCCAGGCAATCCCCAAGGGTCAGTATCCCTGCAAGAATCAAGATGCGGCAGAGGCTGTCATAGCTTTAAGAAATAGGATTCATTCACATATTGTCATGGACTGGTTAGATTCAGAGGAATCAGCTGGAGAACCCCAAGAGAAGAAGGTTCAGGGCTCAGAGCCCAGGGAATGGTGGTGGGATGACAACGAGTTGTAAGAGGGAGAAGATTGAGAAAAGGAGTTGTGGGAAGCTGAAGGGGTAACTGGGGTTAGTGAGCTGGGGGAGTCTGTGGCAGAGAGAAGTCTAGAATCAGAGGCAGAAGCTGAAGCAGGAGAGTGGGTTGAGGGAGGCCAAGAGGCAGAGATGAGTCCAGTTGGTGAAGATTCATAGGCATCTCTCCCTCCTGCAAGCTCCCCTCCACTCTGGTATCTCAGAACTAGAAGAGGCAAGAAAAGAGTGATGGAAGCTCCCCCCCCCCTCCCAGCCTTCTCCCTTTTCTTCCTCTGACCACTCATCGTTGTCCCACCACCACCAGTCACCAAACTCTGAGCCTTCTTCCCTTGGGGGTTCCCCAGCTGGGTCCTCCCACCATTCCTCTGCACCCAACCAGTCCCATATTTTCACCTGAATTTAGATGGAAGGAGCCCAGATCTTACAGCATGGTCATCTCCAGAGGGGTTTGTTCCCCACAGTAGTGCAGTTCTTGAGAGCAAGGCATCTCTCCCAGCCTGCCTTCAGCCAACTGGCCAGATTCATTCCAATCCTCAGGCCACCAACTCTTCCTGAGACATCACACCCAGTTACCCTGGCAACCTTCCACACCTCCTATTTCTGTTCGCACCTCATAGCGGGAGGGGGGGGGGGAGAACAGATCTCTTGCATTACCAATGGCCTTCAATCATTACGTGGTCTGCCAAAACCCTTCGCAGTTTTCAAGTGGTCCATAAGGTGTTTGGGAACTGCTGATTTAAGGCATGCTGAGTCATAGAATAATAGAATTGTAGGGTTGGAAGGGACCACAAGGATCATCTAAGTCCAAACCAAATCTTTTGTCCAACATGGGATCTGAACCCACAACAATCAGATTAAGAGTCTTGTGCTCTCCCAACTGAGGTGTCAATGGCCTGTTTTATTTCTTAATGGCCCTAGCTTGGCCAGGTAATTTTGCTTAGGCTAGCCCAGGAATTTTTCTGCAGTTAGCATTCTCCCTTCATATCCCAAATAACCAAAATCCTATAATTTCTCTCTGCTATTTACTAATAGACTCAGTTACCTCATAGCTGTAACAATACACTAGACCTGAATCGTTAACACAAATAGAAGTCATTAATATTGCAGTAATTGAAATTAATAAGATTTTTGAATGCAGATAGCATAATAAATCATCAAACCATCAAGTCTAGCACATGGGGGGCCACCTAAATTATTTAGTTTGGTATTTGAATGATTGGATTTTATTAACTGTTTTATAATTTGGCATTGTTATAATGAGGCTATCATTGGGTTGTAATTGAGAACTAATAAAACTTATTATCGTCAATACCTGAGACCTGAATTCCACCCCCTTGGATTTTAGGGGAGGAAAGCAGGAAAGGTCAAAGGAGCACAAGGATGCTCTGACCTCACTTCCGCTTTGCCAGCACAAGCAAAGGACAGGCAATTCTCTCTCCCACCCTGTCCTTTATGGTTGTGGCCTGAATCGTGAGGATTCCACTCGACGAAGTGTGGAGTCGCAGGACTCACCGGAAAAGTGGACCTTCTAGGAAGAGATGGAGAAAGGAAGAGATGGTGCACCAGGCTGGTCTTTGTGGTGAGGGGGGCAAGGACAAGGGAAAACTGGAAGGGGGAAAGTAGAAGGGCTAGTTACACTGGCTGCTGTTTTTGCTGTCCACAATGAACAGATAATCTTCATACACCCCTCTCATTTCACGCCTTTGAAAGGCTCTGCTTTGCAGATTGCAGAAAGAAGAGTTTTTGACAAGCAATGAAGCAACTTAAGCAATGGAACCAACGATGCTTTTCTGCAGGGATGGAGGAAATGGGACTGTCTCCCATTAGCCCTAGCCTGCATGGTAAATGAGCATCAATTGTGGGAACTGTAGTTCAGCAAGATTGGGAGGGCCACACAGACTCCCAATTCTTGCTTTGATGCTCTCACATTATGGGACACGGGTGGCGCTGTGGTGTAAACCACTGAGCCTCTTGGGCTTGCCGATCAGAAGGTCGGCAGTTCAAATCCCTGCGACAGAGTGAGCTCCCGTTGCTCTGTCCCAGCTCCTGCCAACCTAGCAGTTTGAAAGCACACCAGAGCAAGTAGATAAATAGGTAGGAAGGTAAACAGCGTTTCCATGTGCTCTGGTTTCCGTCACGGTGTTTTGTTGCGCCAGAAGCGGTCTAGTCATGCTGGCCACATGACCCAGAAAGCTGTCTGTGGACAAACGCTCGGCCTGAAAGCAAGATGAGTGCCACAACCCCTAAGGCCTTTGACTGGACTGGAATCATTACTCTTTGTAGAAAGAAGAAAAGAAAACCAATATTTTTTTTTACCAAAAATAAAAAAAGGTTAACCTTCCTTGGTATGTGTTTTTTAAAGGCAAGATCTAAATTGAGGAAAGGAAATAAAACAATCCCATCCAGTGTACAATCCCAGTCATGGTCCAGGAGGCGAACAGCTGGAATTGAGGAATCAGCATTCTAGAGACACTAAATAGCAAATAACATTCCAGTCAACCCTGACCTATGGTTTCTTGTTTCCTGTTTTGATCGTCTGCCTTCTGTGCGGAGGCAACATGGATTGTACTTTGTGTGGCACAAAGGGGGAAGGGAGGG